GTAAATGTAAATTGTCGTGACCACACTAACGTGACGGATTTCCATTGCATACGAGAATTTTATTTGAAAAATAATTGTGCCATAATCATTGATCCTCATTAAAAAATACAATAGGAACATTATAAAACATCAAAAGTCCTTCGATAATTTAAACCTCGTTAATTTTTTTAACGTGTCCTCGATGGCTGGAAATATTCAATTGATCTAGTTGACAATTTAAATTCATTTCTATGGTTCGTTCTCAGATTTTTAGATTTCGAAATATCTGATTACAATCGAGAAGTATAAAACAATCATCATTCATCTGAAATGATATTTTACTGACAAATAATATTGTTTTTTTTTATTTCAAGAAATAATAAATCACACTCGCAATTTTCAAACACGTGTGGTTATATCACATCGTTAATCTAAAAATAAAAATACGTTTTCGATGGAGCAATCCTTGTTGCTCCTTCAAGTTGCAAATAAGACGACTCAGTGGTTTTTATATCAGTAAGTTTACGGATAAAAAAAGAATAAAACATATCGGAATAACAATATAAACATGACGTTGACAACGACTGCTACGATTGCAATTTCTCGTATCCCTACCAATACCTGTAAATATTGTACCGGGTCACTGACATTATTTTCGCTTGGTATACATACACATGCAACGGCCATAGGTCTAATCAATATTAACCATACGTACACAACAGAATGACATGCATATACTTCGTGCACGTGTATATCAGTGTGTGCTTAGGCGCGTTTTTACGCGTAAATTACTTATGCGACAGCTTAGGCTTGCTAACGAGGTGTTGCTAGAAGAAAGGCATGGTGCTGATACATTTTGGTTACATGTTATTGTTGTGGTCGAGGACCTCTGCATAATGTTACTCGGCAAACGCCGAGTGTCCCCAAAAACCTCCAGATATACCTCAGAACAAGACACTTCTGTGCTGCTATAATGATTATAGCAGATAATAATGAACGCAGACTTCAACGTAATAACTGTAATAATAATTACTACTCCGTGAGCCGGTTGACATGACCAACAGTACCTGCTTAGGTAGATAGATGATATATAGGTATATAGATGAATTACTTCCACGACCGATGTCGTCAAATCATTGTAGAAAACATGCATTCGTGCATTACACTGGTACTCAAAAACTAATTCTTTCTAATTTAATAAGTTAGGAAAAATTACTTTTAAATTTGCATTAATCCAATATGGATTCTGCTGTATATAAATAACTTTAAAACAAATAATCTTTAATAATTAGGCTATTGTTAGTTTGATAGTTTTTCAAATATCTCTTCAATACCTGAAGAGTACTATGAGCATTAACAAATATTTACAATATTTCTACGCATTGTTATCTGAAAAAATAAATCAAAATCAATAGAAATTATATAAGTTTTATACAAAAGGGTGTCCCATCATATTTTGACATCTTTAATAATTTCAATCCAACAAAAATTTTTTAAATTATTTGTACAATTTAGAACTACGTTAAATGCCTGTTTTATTATTTGTCTCTAAAAAGAAAAAAATAAGTTATAGTACTTTTTTTGTTTTCTTAAATCTTAAAATAGCCATTTATTTTACAAAAACTTTTGATGGGGCAATATCAACTTTACGATAGGTACTAATTAAGTTACATGCATTTTAATACGTATAACAGACAGCTTGCACATACAGCAATACGAGTAATAGACACCCTCCCTACATAGCTACTTGGTGTATAGATTGTAACTCAATAAGTATTCGTTTTAAAATTGATATTAGTCCATTCAAATTTTTGTAAGAAAAGCTCCAAAAACGGTTATTTTTAAATTTTGAAAAATAAAAAATAAAATTTATTATTGTTAAAACAGTATATAAAATATATGATTTTATCACAGTTTAAGAATGCATTAAAAAAAAATTGCAGCAAAACGTTACTTATATCAAAAGTTATTTAGAAATTATTTATTTATTAATAATTAAATTTAGTTATTTAATATATACAAGAGTTATCATTTTAATCTGATACATACTATATATATATTTACATAGTATTTCATACCTGACAAATCTTATAACTTTTGGTTCAATTATTATTTTATTGAATTTTCTTTTTAAACAATTATTGCTTTCTTATTATTTATTACTAATGAAAAAAAAAATTTTTTTTTTGAAATTTTAAAATAGCCTTTTTCATAAAAAAATGAGCTATTGAGTTACAATCATTGTGATGCATAAAGAGGATATGGATCGCAGTCTAAGTGTTATTTCTTTATATTGGCTGTGTAAATATTTATCAGTGTCTATTCTGTATGTTCTGTAATAATTATTAAAAAAAAAAGTAGCACAGTGCAGCGTGGCATAGTTGGAACAAATATAGATGGTATTTGACAGTGATTAAAATCACTATCATAAGATAGGCTTCAATGCAAATTTGTAAATAATGTTTAATTTTAAGAAAATTTAATTTTCAAAAGTTAAGTTGATAAAGTTCTACTTTTTATACGTATGATTCAAAAATTAAACGCTTTCTGTATAAGAAGAAATTTCCCGATTAAAAGGTTGGGTTTGTATGTCGGATGAAAAAGGAAATATAAAGTATTTAGAAACAAAAGTTTGTGTTGATCTATACATTTTTTAAAAAGTTACAGCAATTTAAAATATAAATTCGAAAATTTTAACACAAAAAAACATGTTTTTAACTGCAGCATGTAACTTTTATATGTAAAAGATAAGTTGTCGGGACAAATTTTTTTTTTTTTTTGTAGTACTTAACATAAGGTTTAATTTAATATATGTTTAAAGAATGCATTATTCCTGGAACATTTTCAAAAATTAAGTAGAAAACATTGAATTTTGTGAAAAAGTTTCTATTTTTAATACTCTTTCTGTGTGCAAGTAAAGGGTCAGATTTTCAAAAAATTTTTGTCAAATAAAAGGAAAATACCTAAGGATTTTATTTAAAAAAAAAATATTTTGATACAAAATTTTTTCAAACAATTATGGCAGTTTTAAGAGAAAAAAATGTCAAAATTTACCAATTTTAAAGATTGTGATTTTTTGGGGGATTTCTTACATTTACAGGGAACAAGAAAAATTTCTTCAATTTTTAAGAATTATGTCTTCAACTAGATACGATTTGTGATATTTTGACAGATCTTTGAAAGAAATCGGTTCGGCGAGAACTAAGAAAAACTGGCGACAGACATAAAAAAAAAACACACATCATAAATTAATAACTTCCCATCTTGCATCGAAACTAAAAAAAATTTAATAGTTTAATGATGTATCACAAGTAATAAGCGTTTTCTGAGACTTGACTGTATATTTACACATCTATTATTACTAGATATTTATTAAAAGTAAATACACTTCTTTAATTTATATTGATAAATACCATACAGAGTGTTCAGTAAGTAAGGAAACAGGTCAATTGTTACAAACAATAAGAACAATAGAAACCCGTTACCTTACTTACTGAACACTCTATATATTTAATGTTCTATCATTTTTAATTACTCTGTTATCTTACAACTGTATATTACAAGTAAAATAATTCAAAAAAACAGTAGCAAATTAACACGTAAATATTTTGTGGTTGGATAGTCATTGTTTTAGTAGATTAGAAAAAATAAATGGCATCATCATCCAATAAAATATAATTAAAAACAATATAACTCATTCATAGATTAATTATGTTTTTTATTAACTTCAAAATTAATAAAATATTAATTTTTTATAATAAGAATTAAAATTCAAATTTAGTGTTCTTTAAACATTTTAAGTGCTAAAATAGATTTTACAAGTTATTAAATAACTAAATTCATTAAATTAACTTATGTTAATTTAATTAGAACTGTCTGATGTTATGCCACCAAATGATTCATTCAAAATATTACAGCTTAAAAAATTTGGATCAAGAATTTTTTATTTTTTCTGTTAGATTTTTTGATTCTAATTATTAATAAGCCTTAAGTTTTTTTCAACCTTTAATATTTTATAGCACAATTTTAAATTTTCACAATTTGATTTTCCATAGTGTTTTTCTATAAAAAATAAATAGGTCTGTAGTTTATCAAATTTAACTATGTTTAGAGACTTTAAATTAAAAAAATAGCTGTAATTACGATTTTTCGACTAATGAAGTTTCTTTTCACATTTATTCGGATTATGCCAACTAAAAGTGATACAATAAATAATATATTATTTTTTAAATCCTCAATATTTTCTATCGATATAATACAGGATAATTACATATAATAAATAAAAAAAAAGTTGGTTAACATTTTATGTGAAAAAAAAATAATAATACGAATATTCAAATTGTAACTAAAATATTGAATATAGAAAAAACTAAATCTATATTCAGAATTAGTGCCACAGAATCTATTAGAAACAATAAAAAGAATCTAATAATCATTTCATGAATCAAATTTTTTCGAGCTTTGTTATCGAAGCAATGTATTGTTAAACTAATTCTTTACAGATTTTGTAAAACTTTAAGACTAACAAAATTACTGTTATCATATGTAAATGTATCTTATCATTATAAATACATATAGAATTGAATTGCATTTATCTTTGGGCAGTCAACTACACTTACTCGGCTTCGTAATTAAAAGAAACCACATAACTTTAATAGGAAACATAGAATTTGAAACATGACATTTAATTAAGAACGCGTAGTATTAATAATGTATTTGCATCATTTGAATAATTTTATGATTTAGAAGCAAATTATAAAAACATGTAATATATCAGTATTTTTCTTTATATTTTTAAACTTCCAATAAAAATATATTATACAATAACTTTATACGTATAAAATAATTTGATAATAGTTACATTATTGTCTAAACAGAAATGTTTCAGCATCATATTTGAATTGAATTTTTGATCACAGGAATTATTTTAAATGAATATTGTCGAATTTGATTTATATTTTCAATTTACTACTAAAATTATCTTAACACTATAATTTTCATTTTACTATGAATTTTTTCAGTATTGTAAAATGCACATTCAATTTTTAACAGAAACGAGATGACGCAGAGGGAAGATGTACTTAAGTTTGAACAGGGGCGAATTAAAGCTCTCCAGGAGGAACGACTACACATACAGAAAAAGACTTTTACCAAATGGATGAATTCATTCTTGCAAAAGGTTTTGTAACAATATTATGAGCTCCCTTAAATAGATGAGTAATATTGATTTAAATCTGACGTAGGTAAGAATGGAGGTGGACGATTTGTTTATGGACCTAGCGGATGGAAGAAAACTCCTCAAACTACTGGAAATAATATCCGGTGAAAAATTGGGAAAACCTAATAACGGTCGTATGAGAGTACATAAAGTTGAGAATGTCAATAAAAGCTTAGCGTTTCTCCATACAAAGGTACTGTTTTTTGTAATAAGAATATTTTAAAGCTTATATTAAATTTATACATTTTATGAGAGTGAAGTTTTATTACGCGCCATTGTACAATATAAATTTAATTTTACACAGGTCAGGTTAGAAAGCATAGGCGCTGAAGATATTGTCGATGGTAATCCCAGATTAATTCTGGGACTTATTTGGACGATTATTTTGAGATTTCAAATTCAAGAAATTGAGATTGATGTGGTATGTAATTTAAATAAAATTAAAATACAACTCTAAAATTTCTAATAATAAATGTTACAGGATGAAGAAAACGAAAGTAGTGAAAAAAAATCCGCTAAAGATGCTTTACTTCTGTGGTGTCAACGTAGGACTAATGGTTATAAAGGTGTTAACATACAAGATTTCACTGGTAATTGATTTTTATATTATAGTAATTGATACATTTAATTGTTATTATTCTATCGTTTTTGTTAACTGTTTGTAGGTTCCTGGAGGAATGGTTTAGCATTTAATGCGTTGATCCATGCACATAGACCAGACTTGCTCGACTATACATCATTAGAAAAAAATTCTAACATCGATAACTTGAATATAGCGTTCGATGTCGCAAACAATGAATTGGGTATCCCTCGATTATTAGATGCTGAAGGTAATATTTCTTAAATATATATATATATAATTTTTATGATTATTTTTAACTTGAAAATGTTCGCCTTCAAAACTAGACGTTGATACAAATAGACCGGATGAAAAATCAGTTATTACGTATGTTGCTTCTTATTATCACACATTTGCAAGAATGAAAAATGAAATGAAGAGTGGACGGAGAATAGCAAATGTAAATTTTAAATTAAACTTAATTCATTTTAATGTTATATTAAAATTATATTATAATATTTTACTTATATTTAGATCCTTGGTCAATTAATGGACACTGATAAAAAAAAGATACTTTATGAGCAACTGACTTCTGATTTGCTTGAGTGGATACAAATGAAAATAAAAGAACTTGAAAATCATGAATTTCCTAATTCTCTTGAGGGTATTCAAAGAGAATTGTTGGCATTTAAAAAATATCGTACTGTAGAAAAACCTCCCAAGTACGACGCACTTAAGTTTAAAGAAACAAAATATTATTTATTACCCATATACATTTTATTTATTTTATAGGTACATAGAACGAAGTGAAATTGAAGCTCTTTACTTCCACATAAATACTTTACTCAAATCACTTAACCAAGGAGTTTTTATACCACAAGAAGGTCAGCTCATACATGACCTTGAACGTAACTGGGAATCCTTAGAAAGGGCTGAACATCAGAGGGAAGTAGCTTTAAGAGAAGAACTTTTAAGACAAGAACGTTTAGAACAATTAAACTACAAATTTGAAAAAAAAGTTCGCCATTTATTTATCTATTTCTTTATCTTTTCTACAACCATTAATATTTTAATTATATTTTATTAATTATTTAGAGTGTACTCCGAGATGGTTATTTAAGAGAAATGATTCAAGTATTAAATGATCCACGATTTGGGAATAGTCTGACACAAGTAGACGCAACTGTAAAAAAACACGAAGCTATAAGTGCTGATATAATGGCTCGTGAAGAAAGGTTTCATGATTTAAATGCCATGAGTGAAGAACTCATTAAAGAAAATTATCATGGAACTCAAAGAGTAAAAAAAAGAGAAGAAGAAGTATTGCAAAGATGGAAAGATCTTTTAAAACTTTTGGAAAATCGTAAAATAAATTTAAACAATATCAGTACTATTTTTGCTATGCTTAGAGAAATAGAAACTGTTATGACAACTATAAAGGTAAATTTGTTTGGAAATTATAACATCTTAATTTATTTATTTATGATAATAGGACAATAATATAATATATTCCTTTAACAGGAAATCGAAGCTAATTACAAATCAGAAGATGTCGGCCCACACTTATTAGTTGTAGAAGATTTATTGCAAAAGCAAAATTTGACTGAAATGCAAACTACAGCTATTGGTGAAACTGTCCGAAGATTAACCAGACAAGGTCAGCAACACATACAATCAAAGCAAAAAGATGCTGCATTATTAAAAGAGAACCTTAATCAATTAAATAGTACATATGATAGGTAAGTAAAAATAACGTTTAATTAAATTATTTAAGTTAATACATAAGCTTAACTATATTCTAGACTAACTGAGTTAAGTAAAGAGAGAAGACTAAGACTGGAAGAAGCTAGAAATTTTTTTCAATTTATTGAAGACCACGAAGATGAAGAAGCGTGGCTTATTGAGAAACAACGTATTTGCAAAGCTGACATATCAGCTAAGGACCTAATAGGAGTAATGAGTTTACAACAAAAACATAAGGTAGTTAAATATTTTATCTATTTTTAAGTTATCAGTTTAATCAGAGCTTCTTCCAAAGAGAAAGTTTATTTTTCATGAATTCTCACATTAAAATACATTTTAATATAACAAACATTTCACAAAAAGTGTTAAGTAAAATTAATAAAGGGTATATCGTTAATATAGTTTATACTTATAATATTTAAATTTGATTAGGCTTTACTAGATGAAATGAAAGTACATCGACAAAAATCAAACCAAATATGTAAAACTGGTTTAACCATTAATTCTAAAGAACTAAAAGAAATACAATCAAGAGTTGATTCTTTACAAAGTCACTGGAGTACTCTTAGTACACTATCGCAATTAAGAACTAAACAGCTTCAAGATGCAGCTGAAGCATACCAAGTGAATATACAATTATTTTTTATTTAACAATAACTGTTTTTAAATATTTTTTAAATAAATTATTTAGTTTTATGCTGATGCAAACGAAGCTGAATCTTGGTTGCATGAAAGATTAACTGTACTAAGTTCGACTGATCATGGAGTAGATGAACCAAGTGCCCAAGCTTTATTAGCTCGAAATAAAATATTAGAAGAAGAATTAGATGCATATCAAGGGGATATACAGTCTTTAAACACACAAGGCGAAAATCTTATTAAAGCTGGAATATCAAATATTTTGGTAACTAATCACATAAATAAAATATTATTAAAATACAAAAACTCAACATAGTGAAACGTGGCATAATTGGAACAAGTTTAGATATCTAATAGTGATTCAAATCACTATCATAAAAAAACCTTCGATGCAAATATATAGATAGTGTTTAAATTTTATATGGAATTGTTAAATTATACCAATAGCAATATGAACTTCTATTCCATTAATTATGCACTGATTACAAGTTTTATATTATAACACAAATTAATGAATACTTATTGTAGTAATTAAATTTAGTATGAAATTGATATTCAATATTTTATACTGTAACTTTCAAGGAAAATGATAAAAAAATATAAAGTAGTTGTATATTTCATTAACTCTATGGGAAGCGTGTATTAAAATTGAAACATTAAAAATTAAAAGACCTCCATAAAAGAGGGGAGCTCGAACCAAGTATTACTATATTTGTCAGAAATATCTCTATTTATGTTCTAATTAAAGCTTTTAAAAATATTCGCCATGTCTCATGAGTCAATTTTTTTTTTTTTTTGTAAAGCTGTCCTTATTCTATTAAAAAAAATAGAAAAATACGGGATAGACATTAAAAAGTATCAAAATCCTACCCGAAAATTTTTATAATCAGCACATAAATTTTATTTATTATTTTTCTTTGTAGAGAGAGATTAAATGGGGGGGTACGTATCTACCCCTGCTATATTACTATAATGTTTATCTTAAAGAATAAATATTAATAATTGAAAAATAAGTTATAATAATATAAAGTTAAAACTATAATACATAAAATTGGGAATTTCAATATAAAAGTTGTATACTTTTTAATTACGACGTCAGTTTCACAGGAGATAAAGGTTTAAGACAATTTGGTTTTTAACTTATAGGTCATAAAATAAGCTTTAATCTAACATATGTTTAAAGAACGCAGTATTTTCGCAACATTTTCAAAAGTTAAGTTGAAAAGGTTAACTTTCAATACAAAAGTTGCAATATTGAATCACCTTCTGTAGTTAAGTAAAAAGTCAAATTAAAAAATATACACTTAATGAAAGGAAAACACCTATGATATCTACGAAAAAAGTGTATTTTAATTTTTTTTTAAGTTATAACAATTTAAGAAAAAAATTTTATAAAATGTCCAAATTTACTGATTTTAAAAGTCGTACTTCTCCCAATTTAACTTAGTACAATTTTTGATCTTTTGACGTATTGTGGAATAAAATCTATCTGGTGAAATCTGAGAAAAAATGGTAACAAATACAAAAAAAATAACTATTAACACATCACATAGTTAAATTTATACTTTCTTAGATTTGCATCAAATCTAAAAATTATATAATGAATATTTGTCTAATAATTTTATTTTATCTTTTCTACTACTTATACTAAATCTTTATTTTAGTTACCAAATGAAACCCCTACAAAACCATTAATAGAGCCAATAGAAGAATGGGTTTTTGAAACTCGACTTTTACCTCAAGAAGTTTTGGAAGAGGAAATCATTGAACATATTGAACATAGAACTGTTGTAGAAGAACGGCAAGTGCCTCAAGTAAAAAGTCTCTATCCTTTCAGTGGACAAGGGATGACTATGACAAAAGGAGAGGTATATTTCAACTAAATCACTTAAAAAGAACTATTTTTAATAGTAATTTAAATATTGTAGGTTATGTTTTTATTGAACAAAACAAATCCAGATTGGTGGAGTGTGAGAAAACTTAATGGAACAGATGGTTTTGTACCAGCTAATTATGTTTGTGAAATTGAACCAAAGATCATGCAAGTATCAGTTAGAAGACCACATGTAGTAAAAACTACCAAAAAAATTCCTAAAGTTAAAATGGTTAAACAAAAAGTACGCGTAAAGAAAACTAGAACACCTGAAAAATATGGTAAACAATAGTTGAATTTTTTGTAACTTTTATTTTAAAAACTTTGATTTACATGAATTAAATTTTTTATAATGTTTTTAGAACCTAAGAAAAACAATATAAATCCTAATAATGAAGACACAATTGATAAACGAATAAAAAAAATTAATGAAACTTATAAAAAATCACAAGATTTAGCAAAAAAACGACATGCACTTTTAGAGGACTCAATATGTCTTTATGGATTTTATAGAGAATGTGATGACTTTGAGAAATGGATTAAGGATAAAGAAAAACTACTAAAAACTGATGATAAACTAGACACAGTGGAATCTGCAAAAAGAAAATACGAAGTATGTATATGAGACATTTATAATTACAAATTTTACTCATTTACCTAATATATTATAGAAATTTTTGACCGACTTATCCGCTAGCCATAAACGTGTAGAGGATATTGACAAAGCAGTTCAAGATTTTGCTAAACTTGGCCATAGTCAACTTAATATGATAACTAAACGACAAAATCAAATTAAGAAATTGTGGGATAATTTAAATTGGTTAAAATCACAAAAAGAAAAAAGCTTAGAAGGAGCTTTAAGGTATAATTAATATTCTACTAATGTAATTATAAATATAGTATCGTTTATAGTGTATGCTAAACTTTAATTTAATTAATTTAGTGTTGAACTATTTGAGAAAACATGCAATGAAGCAAAAGATTGGATGACAGAGAAAATGGACAAACTTGACAGCGCTGAAGTGGGATTAGACTTAAAAACTATACAAGCGTTACAAAGGCGACATTTAAACCTAGAAAGAGAACTAGCACCTGTAGAAGAAAAAGTCAATAGAGTACATTTATTAGCCAATTCGGTAAAATCTTCCTATCCTGATGAAAAAGGTTTGCAATTAATTATAATGCAATGAAAACTGAATTTTTATTATACTTTTAATTATAGAAAATGTAAATCAAAGACAAAATGACGTGCAAATTTTGTGGCAAAATGTCAAAAATAAAGCATTAGCTCGAAGATCCCGTTTGGAAAACGCTGTTGGCCAACAAATATTTATGAACAGCTCGAAAAATTTACTTAATTGGTTATCTTCAGTTAAAGAAATAATTAATGCTGATAGCCCTGCACGTGATGTTGTCACAGCAGAAAACCTTTTAAAAAATCATAATGTTTGTATTATTTTGATAAATAATATTATCATAGACTAATTTTTTTTACTTTTAGGAATTAGGTGATGACATTAAAGCACATCAAGACGAAATAAAAGAAGTTACTTTACTTGGAAAACAACTTTTATCTAGTGGAAATTGCAGTAGCAATGAAGTTAAAGAACGTAACGATAAACTCAAAGCTGAAGTAAAAAATGTGATGGATGAATGGTCACAAAAAAAAGAATGGAATAAACAATGTTTAGCTTTACAAGTATTTAATAAAGAAGCTGACCATATTGACGCTGCTACATCAGGCAGTGAAATGTTTTTGGATTACACAGACTTAGGAGTGAGTTAAATTGTAAAAACGAAAACTAGACATAAATATTAAACCCTGTTTGATTTCATAGGGATCTATTGACGATGTGGAAGCTCTTCTTAAACGACATGAAGACTTTGAAAACTCTTTATATGCACAAGATGATCGTTTAAAAACATTTTGCGAAATGGCAAACAAACTCGTTTCAACTGATCATTATGACAAAAATCAGTAATATTTCTTTAATTTCTCACCATTACTTAAAAATATTCTTATTCTAATAGTTAACAATTTCATAATTTAGTATTGAAAAACGTAAAGATGCAGTGCTAAATCGTCGAAATTTAGTGAAAGACCAGGCAGCAGCTAGAAGAAATGCTTTAATTGCTAGTAGAAATTACCAAGCTTTTTGTGCTGACGTAGATGATCTAAAAACGTGGCTTAATGATAAATTAAAAACAGCGAGTGATGAATCATATAGGGACCTGACAAATATCGAACGAAAATTACAAAAACATGAGGCATTTGAGTGTGAGTTAAGAGCAAATGAAGGACAACTAAGAAATATTAATAAAGTAATGATTATTTAGCTTAATTTTTAATAGTATGACTGTGATTATATGTTATTATTTGCAGTGTGGTCATAGTTTAATTAACGAAGAAAACTACCGCAAAAAAGAAGTTCAAAAAATGTTGCGTGATCTAAATAATGATTGGAAGAAATTAGTTGATGTTAGTGTAGCTAAAGGTAGATGTTTAAGACAAGCAGCTGCTCAGCATACTTATAATAGAACATTGGATGATGCACACTTCAAATATGAGGAGCTTAAATCTAATTTAAAATCTCAAGAAGTGGGTAAAGATCTAAGACATTGTAAACAACTTCTTAAAAATCACCAAGTTTCTGAGTCTGAAATTCATCATTGGAAGCATAAAATTAACGATTTAGTACAAGCTGGTGATGAAATGGCCCAAGATGGTCATTTTGATGCTGAAAATATTTTGCAATCCAGTAAAAACTGTCAGCAAATGTAAGTTATACAAATTATAATATTATCATTATAAGAATTTCTAAAATTTATTTGACATAAATTAGGTTTGATGGATTGAGTGAACCACTAAAATTAAGGAAAGAAGCTTTAGATGAATCATTGCGTTTTCATAAATTTGGTTTTGAATTAGAAGCAGAATTAGGCTGGATACGAGAACACTTACCACTAGTTGAATCAGTTGAATTGGGTACTAATCTTCATCAAGCTCAAACATTACATAAAAAGCACAAAAAACTTGAAGCTGAAATACAAGGACATCAATCATTGATCAACAAAACAATAGAGACAGGACAAGCACTCATACATCAAAAACACCCGGAAACCAAACAAGTAATTTTAACACCACTTTTTAATATATGTATATATATTGAGATATTAGCCTTTGAAGATTTAGAAAAGATGGGGTAGTATATAGTAGCAATGCTCTATTTTTAACATAACGAATAGATACGAATCCTTTTATGTTGCGTACCCCTGCGATGACTATCACTAAAAATAATAATTCAAAAATTAATAATACAACACTCATTATCGAATAGTCAAAATTTTATCTAAATCATTATCCACTCAATAATAAAACAATATTAATAGATTCTTATTTAACTTTTAAAAGTTAACCTTAAAATCTATCTACCCTTAGAAATAATTTTTTTTACAATAAGTTTTTAAATCTATAAAAATAAATTAAATTTTAATGTAAACATTTTTATGATAATTTATTTTTAAATGATACAATTTCAGGTATCATCATTATGCACTGGTCTTGAAGATGCGTGGCAAGATTTATTGACAAAAAGTGAAGACAGAAATCGTAAATTAGAACTTAACTTAAAAGCTCAACAGTTTTTCTTTGAAGCTAGTGAAATTGAAAGCTGGCTTATTGAAAAAAATAATATATTAAGTTCCACAGATTGTGGTCGTGATAGAGACGCAGCATCTAAACTATTAACTAAACATAAAGTATGAACATAATTATCTATTTCAGTAATATTATGTAAATAAAATATTTCTATTCATTAAAAATACAGGCACTTGAGTTAGAACTTGATACATATGAAGGAATAGTAAAAGAAATGTGTCATACTGGAAATACTATGGTTAATCTTAAACATCCGGATATTAAAGCAATTACAGCTAAACAGCAGTATATTTGTGAACAATTTAAGCAATTACAAAAATTTTCTACAGCTAGGCAGCATAATTTAGTTGAAAGCATGTGCAGGTAAGAACAAGAATTAATAATAAGTGTAATTTTTTTTTTTTAACAACTGTTCAATTTTATTTTAGACACGAGTTTTTGATAGAGAGCTACGAGTTAGAATTATGGATAAAAGATTATATTCAAGCCGCTTCTTCTGAAGACTATGGTCAAGATTTTGAACACCTCTTGGTATATTTAATAACACATTGATATTAAGTTTGTTTTTTTTTTCGATATTCTGATATTATTTTAGGTTTTACAAAATAAATTTGATGATTTAAAACATCGAGTTGAAACTGGTTTGAGTAGGTTTAATCAATGTGAAGATCTTGCCAACAAATTGATTGCCAACGATTCAGAGTATACGCCAGAAATAGAAAAAAGACAAGAGGAAGTTCGAGAATTGTGGCAGCAATTAATTATTACACTAGAAAATCGAGATAAACGTTTAAAAGCTGCAGGCGAAATCCATAGATTTCACAGAGACGTCGCTGATGCGTTGTCACGAATAAGTGATAAAGATGCAACAATTTCAGATGATTTAGGAAGAGACTTAAATTCTGTTTTGACATTGATACGAAAACATGAAGGATTTGAAAATGATCTTGTAGCATTGGAAGCACAATTACAAGTAAAATCAAGAGATTATTTTTTAATATTATTTATATAACAATAATATTATTACACAAAACTTTTTTTTTTTGAACTTCTTACAGATTTTAGTTGAGGATGCAGTAAAATTACAAACATTGTATCCTGGATCTAACGCAGCTCATATTGCTAAACAACAAGAAACAGTTATTAGAAGCTGGACTTCATTACAAAATCGATCAGCACACAGGCGAGAAGCATTACAAGCTAGTTGTGATTTACAACGGTTTTTAGCTCAAGTAATGACTTAAATAAAAAAAATCTTATTTTTTTTTATTTTATCCTCTCATAAATCACGTTATAGGTAAGAGATTTAGTGAATTGGTCTAGCAGCCTTAGAGCAACTACAAGAACAGAAGAAAAAGTAAGAGATGCAGCAAGTGCTCAGCTACTTAAAGGAGAACATGAAGCTGTAAAAGCTGAAATAGAAGCAAGAGAAGAAACTTTTCAAACAGTTGCAGAACTTGGAGAGGCTCTTGTGCAAGGTGGTCACTTTAGAGCAAATGTGAGATACCTATACTTTTCTAAAATTATTTGAAATAATTAATTATTTTTTAATTTAAAGGAGATTCAAGAAAAACTAAATCATCTATTAGAGGAACGCCATCAATTACATACTTCGTGGCATCATAAAAAAGTTCATTTGGATCAACTCATCGATTTACAATTTTTCCTCCGTGATGCGAAACAAATAGATACAATTTGCAACACACAGGAAGTTGCATTAGCAAACTTAGATTACGGTTTGGAAAAATATTAAATGATTAAAAATAAATAACATTTATAAATATTATTATTATTTATTTTAATAAAGGGAATACAGTGGATCAAGTTGCGTCTTTAGTTAAAAAACATGAAGGATTTGAGAAATTATTTGAAACTCAAGAAGAAAAAATTGCTCTGCTAAAAGAACATTGTGATAAACTACTCAATCAAAATCATTTTGAAAGTGATTTAATTTCTAGAAGGCTTAATGAAGTTTTAGCAAGACGTGCTCATATTCGAAAACTCAGTGTTTTAAGAAAACAAAAGCTAGACGATGCTTTATTGCATACGCAGTTTTTACGAGATGTAGATGAAGCTGAATCATGGATAAATGAAAAACGTAAAAAACTTGATGTTGAAATTAGCAAAGGAGATGTCAATAATTTGGAAGACAAAATCAAAAAACTTCAAAAACATCAAGCATTCCAAGCTGAACTTTCGGCCAATCAGGGGCGAATAAATACTATTAAGCAAAACGGTAGGTTTAATTAATATAAATTTTTAGTATTTTCAATTAACTCAAATAATTAAAAATTTGATTTACATTCATAACAGCTGATATGCTTATTGAAAAGAAACATAAAAATTCTAAAGACATTCAAGACTCATTGAGTAAATTACTAGTCCTATGGAGAAATCTTCTACAAGAAACTAATGAAAAAGGTAGAGGTTTAGAAGAAGCTCAAGATATTTTAGAATTTAATAATCAGGTGGATAAAGTCGAAACTTGGATAAGAGACAAAGTATGTTTTAAAAAATTTTAATTTTAAATAAGTGGTTACCACTTATGATATGTTTAGGAGATGATGGTTCAGGCTGGGGAAATGGGTCTAGATTATGAACATTGCTTGGCGTTACAAAAAAAACTTGAAGATATTGATAATCGTGTAGATGAAAGCAAAATACAAAGCATAAATAATTTAACTGATAAGCTGATTAGACAGGGTCGTAGTGACACTCAATCTATCCAACAACGCCGACAAAACTTAAACAATAAGTAATTATTATTATTACTTATACTTAATATAAGAAAATTTCATTTTAGTTAAATTTTAATACTCGCATTATTTACTATACAGTGTTATTTATTAAGTACACTACTCCTCCTTTTTCGTTAAATAATGATTTATTCATAAAAATATATAGATTAAAATTTGATTATTTTTTTTTGAGACAAAATAAATATCAAGATTAATATAATAATTATACTGGTGTTTTAATTATATTCCTAAGAGTAAATTATACATCATATCTTAAAACTATTTTTATTTAAAAAAATGTATTTAGTCATTAAAATAGTATAGAAAAGTCAAGTTTTTATATTAAATGTATTAGTTCTTATGTTTAAATTAATTAAATAGATGGAAGGCTTTACAAGGAGCACTAAGTGAATATAGAGAACACTTAAATGGAGCTTTGGAAATACACTCATTTAACAGAGATGTCGACGATACTCTACAACGTGTTAGTGAAAAAGCACTAGCAATGTCCAGTAATGAAACAGGTAAAAATCTTGGAAGTGTTCAACAGCTTCAAAGGAAACAAGATGCATTAGAAAGGGATATGACAGCTATCGAAGGAAAAACAAAAGAACACGAATTAGAATGTAGACGACTTATTCAAAAATATCCAGACATGTCAACACCAATTAAAGCTAAATTGTCAGAAATTCAAAACAATTGGAGAAATTTACATATGCTTTCAAAAAAACGAAGAGATAACTTAAATGAAGCTTACATAAGAGAAAAGTTCTTATCAGAATTAAAAGAGGCTGAACTTTGGGTATTAGATTCTATTAAAAAAATAAAAGCACATGATATGCCAGCAACTATAGCCGAAGCTAAAGCTCTACTTGAATTAAATCAAGAAAGAAAAGCAGAAATTAATGGACGACAGGAACATTTTAAAACATTAAAAGATTCTGGACTAAAAATCAATCCAATTCCTGAAAAAGAACTAGCTCATCTAGATGAATTACGTCGAACTCTAAGTGCTGCTTGGGAAGAAAGGAGAATGATTTTAAGCCAGGCATTAGAACTCCAAATATTCAGAAATCAAGCTGATCAAGTTGACAACTGGTTAGCTTCAAAAGATGCATTTTTAAGAAATGATGACTTGGGGGTAAATAATACAAAATAATTAATTCTTGATAAAGTTGATTTAACGCTCTGTAATAATGTGTGTTGTATTACTTTATTTTAGGAATCATTATCGAGTGTTGAAGAATTAATAAGGAAACATGAAGCATTCGAAAAGACACTTTCAGCTCAATTAGTAAAAGTAGAAGAGTTAGAAAAGTATGCATTGGAACTTGTTACGGGTCAACATTATGACAGCCAAGGTATACAAAATCGGCTTAAGGGTATTTGTAGCCGTCGAGAAAGATTAAAAGAAGCCACAGCTTCACGCAAGAAACGACTAAATGATTCAAGGTTATTACAACAATTTTTGAGAAATATGTATGAGGTAAGAAAAAATTAAAACTCTTCAGTTTTAAGTCATATAAATACTTCTATAAAATTATTTAGGTGGAAGGTTGGATTATTCAAAAACAACAAGTAGCTGGTGATGAAAACTATCGTGATTCTACTAACCTACAAAGGAAAATACAAAAACATGCCACTTTTGATTCAGAATTATCTGCTAACCGCGCTAGAGTTAATACAATTTGCACTGAAGGTGAAAATTTAATTAGTAGTGGCCACTTTGCTAGTATGGAAATACGAGCAAGGTTAGATGAACTCGAAACTAAATGGAGAAACCTACAAGACACAAGTGTTCTAAAAAAACAACGATTGCAAGACGCCTATCAAGTCAGTATCCATAGGTAATTTTTTAATGAATAATGCAAATTTTATTAATCATTGTGAATTTAGGCATTATTATTTAATCGTACTCTTGAAGAACTTGAGGCATGGACAGAGGAAGTTGAAATGCAACTACAATCTGAAGATCATGGGAAGGATTTACAAAGTGTAGTTAATTTGCTTAAAAGACATTCATTGTTGGAGAATGATGTTCATAGCCACGGCGAAGCTTGCCAATCATTAAAAGATACTGCTATGACCTTCCAAAATTCTAATCATTTTATGAAAGAGGAAATCCAAGAAAAAGCTGCAATAGTTTTAAAAAGGTTTACTTTATTAATAAGAATTAAAAAATGGTATTGTCATCTAACAACATTCAATATTTACAGATATTACTCACTCCAAGAACCAATGCAAATACGAAGAGATAATTTAGAGGATGCTTTAATACACTACAGACTATTACGAGATATTGAAGAAGAAATGGCTTGGATTGGTGATAAGGAACTATTAATTGGTTCAAATGACTTTGGTACTAGTTTACATTCTGTTCAGGCATTACAAAATAAACATCAGGTATTTTTACAAATTTATGTTAATTGAAATTTTTAGCAACTCTTCTTCCTTGGCTTTATTCCAACTACTTAGGGTCGGTTATTCTTATTCTAAATTCCCACTTGACACGATTTTTTTAATCCTTCTCCGACTCTAACTACTTTAATTCTTTTCATCTATTGCCCCAGTATTAATCCGAGATGGGATAATCCACCTAAGTTCTGACTAGGGCTTCTCATACTTTTTTACAAAATGTTACAGTGGCTGTCGACCTGATTCAACCTCATTAGTCATTTCTTACGACTGATAAAGAGGCCGTGAAAGTATTCTTATCTCCTATCCACATGGATAAATTTGTAGCAATAAAACAACTATATATTTATTTTTTTATTTTTTAGGCATTAGAAGCCGAATTAATATCTCATGAGCCAGTAGTTACTTCTTTGGTAGATAGAGGACAACAAATGGTTCGTAGCGGCCATTTTGCAGCGCAGCAAATTGAAGCTAATTACACTATTTTACAAGAAAAAATGGCTAAACTAAAAGAAGACTCTAAAATTAGAAAACAAAAACTGTTTGATGCTTATGAATCTCAAATGGTAAAAAAAAAAATGATTTTGCAAACGTAATTGTTATAATTTTTTATATAAATTCTTTTATGTACTTAGTTTTATGCTGAAGCTAATGAAACTGAAGTATGGCTCAAAGAAAAATATCCGTTATTAGCATCTAATGATTATGGAAGAGATGAAGATTCAGTATTATTGTTAATGAAAAAATTAGAAGGAATTGAAAGAGAACTTACAACATTTCAACATACTCTTGAACGACTGGCTAAATTAGGCCGAGACCTTGTAAGTCGTTCACATTTTGATTCAGAAAACATACTTCAAAAGCAGGTAAATATTAATTAGCATGTTAATCGTATTTATTTTTAATTAAAAATATAATAATTATAATCAAATTAATTTAAGACGGACATTGAAGAAGTGTATACAGAGTTGTGTACTTTGAATAAAAAAAGAGCAACTAGATTAGTTGAGAGTCGCAAATTCTATAAATTTATTCGTGAAGCTGAAGATGTTGCTGAATGGATAGGTGATCAAACAACTGTGGCTGCTTCAGAAGATTATGGTCGAGATGTTGAACATGTAGAGCTTCTTATCCAAGTAATTATTAATTGAGTACAAATTTTAATATTACATTTGTTAGATAAAACTAATGTTTTGGTTTTTAAGGCATTTGATAGTTTCTTGAGTGGGTTGAATGGTAGTGAAGGACGTATATCAAGCTGTATTGAAGTTGGTCGAAAATTACTTGAAGAAAATAATCCTGAACGAGATCAAATTCGAATTAGACTAGATGATACACAACAGCTGTGGGATGATTTGAAAGAACTAGCAAATGCTCGACAAGAAGTAAAATATTTTCATTACTTAGATAATTATTCAAAAAATATTTGTAATGTTACGATTATTTTAAGGCATTAATGGGTGCTAAACAAGTACACGTTTTTGATCGTACTGCTGATGAAACTATAAGTTGGATTCAAGAGAAAGATGCTTTATTAGCAGCAGAAGACTATGGGCATGATTTAGATACAATACAAACACTTATACAAAAACATCAAGGTTTTGAAGCTGATCTTGCAGCAGTTAAAGAACAAGTAATTTGTATATTTAAAAACCAAAATAATTAGTTGTTTTAATTAAATCATTTTTTTTATAAATAGGTAGAATGTGTTGTACAAGAAGCCGGACGACTATCAGCAATGTTCCCCGATGCTAAAGATCATATTGAAGTGAAACAAGAAGAAGCAGTGGATGCTTGGGCTACACTTTTAGAAGACGCAAGTCAAAGAAAGAATAAATTAAATCAAGCTGAACACTTGCAGTCATACTTTGATCAATACAGACATTTAATGTGAGTAATATTAGCATTGATATATTATTTTTGTACAAAAAGACCAACGATAATTAGCTTAAGCGGTAATATTTAGAGCGTGGATTAACGAAACTATTGCTAAAGTAACTTCGCCGACCTTGAGTCAAGATGTCAATGGAGCTGAAATGCTAATACTTCGCCATCAAGAATATAATGCAGAAATAACTAGTAGATCAGAAGCAATAGCAGAATTTTATAATACTGGAAAACTACTCATTCAACAAGTACATTTTTTAACTTTAAATCAACAAACTCATCTTATTGATTTTTTTTATGAAATTTATAATTTTAGGGTCATTTTATGTCAGATGAAATTAAAGAAAAAATAAATATTCTCGAACAAAGGCATTATTTACTAACTGACACTTGGAAAAAACGAAAAATCTTATATGACCAAAATTTAGACACGCAGGTATTACATAATCACACCAGATGTTTAATTTTATTAAAAAAATATATCATTTTTATATGATCGATAACTTACTTGTTAGTTATTCAAACGAGACGCGGATTTATTAGAAACATGGATTCAGTCTAGAGAATCAGTACTTAACGATGAAAAAATAGGAGACTCTATATGGCAAGTGGAAGAACTCATAAGAAAACATGAAGATTTTGAAAAAACTATCGAAGCTCAAGAAGACAAGTTTAATACTTTGAACAGGATAACTATGGTACTATATTTTTAGTAAAAAATATCGCTAAAAATACTAATTATTATTATTAATTATTTACTAGTTGGAATCAGCATTTAAAAAACAATTAGAACTTGAAGAAAAAGCTCGTCTAGCCGAGAAAGAACGTATTGAGCGGGAAAAATTAGAAGCGCGGAAACAACGTGAAGTTCAGCGTATCACGGATGTAAGTTTTATAAAATACATATAACTAAAAAATAGACTTATTAATCAATTTCATTCTACAGGAAAGAAAAAGAGAAGGTGATAGATGGAAAGTAAATTCTGGAGGTGAAACAATTAATGGAGATGATGACCAATTCGACCCAAACATGAGGTAAGAAGTTTTGTTTTCGTGAAGAAGTATTGAAAATAAAATGGCTTTGTAGTTTTATTTAATCTTGAAGTAATTTTCTTGGTTTTTGCATGTTTAAATTATTTTCATTAGCATGTGTTTAATATAATATAATATAATGATTTTGTTAATTAGCTTTAATGCATATTAAAATATATTTTAAAAAGTATATAAAAATGGTGTATGAATTTTCTTCTGTTTTTCTGTCTTTTTGCCCCTTTAAGAACGCATGATACAAATAAATCGCATGACGTTGAAATAATAGAATCTACGGAACTACCTAAGGAGTTATCGGCTAGATCTGTCTGGCCTTATGAGGAAAACTCAACAGTGTAAGTTACCTTTGTAAAGCTATTAAGTAACACGTACATTATTTAAGGTAATTTATTCATATATAAAAAAGAAAACTAAATATCTGCTTATATCTGTTTTGTTTTTTAATTTTTAGTAAAAAAATCTTATTAGTTACTTGTTTTTATATTATAGCACGAAGTTATACAATTCAGATATATTTTTATTTTACTATAATTAAACTATTTTTTGTATAAAGGCTTATGACACCTGGATCGCCTGCAATGAGTACTAGCAGTACTTTTTCATCTATATTTGGAAATCGTTTAAAAAAAGGTATCATCATTATTTCTAATAAGTTATAAATAAGTATATTAATGTTATATAAATAATTATAGATGTCAAAAGAGCAGAAAGTATGAAAGCAGACTCATTTAAAAAACCTAAGCGGACACCTAGTTTTACTACTCGTAGAAGAACACAAAGTTTCCGAAAATTGCAAAAACTAGAAAACTTAGATCAGCTACCTCCAGTGGAAATCCAAGGATTCCTAGACAGAAAGCATGAGTTACAAAGTAGTGGTAAAAAAGCAGCAGTTAGATCCTGGAAAACATTTTATACTGGTAATAAAAATTGTTTTATTAACTTTAAAATATACATTGTATATCCTAATTTACATAAGTATATTTGGGCAATGGTAACATATTATCAGGATCCTAAATAGGAACTTTGGTCACTAAAGTCTCATCTCTATGTTTGAGGAAATTTTAATTCAATATTATTTATTTGACTAATATTTAAAGTGAATTTTTTAAAATTAATACATATTATGTTTAATTATTAAATGCGACATCGGTGTAATATTATTAGAGTTTACAGTAAGAGGAAAGACTTATATTTAATTCATTTCTGTTTTTATAGTTCTTTGCGGCCAACTTTTGTGTTTTTTTAAAGACCAAGAAGATTTTGTTGCCAGTAAAGCTGCTACATCACCAATAATTGTGTTTAAGGCTAAGTGTGAAAAAGCGTTTGATTATACAAAACGAAAACATGTTTTCAGGTAATTTCTCTACATAAAGTTAAATGTTTGTGATTGCAATTTAAACTTAATTATTTTAATTAAATAAATTTAAGACGAAATATTATACATAAAAAAATGTATAAATAAATGATCAATTATTGAAATTCGGCATATTCCATGAAATTGTCCAAAATTAATTTTCTCATAAATGCCGTTTAACTCCCATGTGATATTTTTTTTTTTTAACTGATTATGGATATTCAAAATTAAAATATCAATCAAAATAGTTAAAATGTTATAGATCTTTAAAGTTTTCATATAACTCTGCATAAGCCGCGCGTACGTCACTATAATGATCATTGATACGGAGTTCTAATAAATAATGATGCCGTTTCATGTGATGTTTCGGACTTGTTGGATCATTGTAAATTTCAGTCTGATGGATTTAAATAAGTTATAATTAGACTAGAGTACTCTTCATTGGGAGTTTGAAGCGTTAGCGCTCATCCCACGAGGGTACCGACGGGCTCGAGTCGGTTACCGTAGACGAAAACATTTGTAGGTTACCCAAAACTTGATTTTAATTTAACATATTTGTTTGAAAACTGAACATTACTTTGTAAAATACTGAATATTTAATCTTATTGACAAAAGCAGAAAGATAAAAGTTTTCAAATTTTCAAGATTACAATCTTGGTTATAGATACTCTCATTTTAAGCACTTCCCTTAATAAATTTTTGAAAAAAAAACTACATCAACAACAATATGAATGCAGTGCGTGAGACTTGGTAAAAACGTTATATAAAAACTTTAAAATTCTATAACTTTTTAACTATTTTCGACCAACGTTTTATTTTCACATATTCTTAATCAGTATAAAAAAACAACTCGATTAAAAAAACTCGCGTAGGAGCTAAACTGTATCAGGCACGTAGACATGGGTGGGCCTGCCCCCCCTTAGATTTAATGTGGCCCAGGGCCGGCCCCCCAAATTTAAAATTCAATTATTTTCACGAATTATCAATAACGTACTAGGCCTAATATACATTGAAATTATTATTAATTTGTGATTACTATTGAGTAATACAATTATTATTATGGCTGTATTTTCATTTTTATATTCATAGAAAACGTTATTTGAAAAAGATAACGTTCTAGACGTAATAATAAATGGAATAGAAGTTACTCCAAACGTGGTTGTAGATAAATTTTTTTTAACTCTGGTCCAACAAATGATAACAAACTATCAAGTATCATTGATACTTATTGAAATATGCATTGATTAGAATCTAGTTGATTACAAAATTCGATAGAGTAATACTCTATGAAAAATTTTTTGATAAATCTTATCTTTAATCTGTTTTTTTTTTTATATTTTAGTAGTTATAATAGGTAATTTATTTGTTTTTGTTAATTTGTTATTTGCGTGCACTAAATAATAGTAATGAAAATATGACTAAAAAAAGGCAGGAATTGTCTTTAATTTTAAATAAAATAAATTTTACATTGTTTATAATTTATATTTATTTTCAAAATTATTTATAACTTTATTGTTATTAGTATTTAGGTATAAATTATTTTTTCTTAATAGCTTAAAAGTTGAAAAATTAAATCAGCTTATGTTCACATCATTATTTTATTAGCTTCGATGCAAAAGTTGAGAAGGTATTGGTTTTACTATGATGTGTTTTTTTTTGTGTCTGTTACCACTTTTTCTCAGCTCTCACCAAACCGATGTCTTTCAATGATACGTCAAAAGATCACAAATCGTATCAAGTCGAAGACATTACCCTCAAAAATAGAAAAAAATTCCCTCGTTCCCCGTAAATGGGGGAAACCTCCAAAAAAATTACAAATTTAAAAATCGCTAATTTTCGAAAATTTTCAATTTTTTTTACTTAAAATTGCTATAACTTTTTTAAAAATAACCAAATTAATATAACTTTTTTTTATATAGATACATGATATCATTATCTTTCATTTGGTATATTTTTTTTTCTGACCCTTTACCTGCCCACAGGGGGGGATTTAAAATTACAACTTTTTCACAAAAAATTAATTTTTTCAACTTGACTTTTGAAAATGTTCCGGAAAGTCTGACACTTTTATATATATATTAAATTAAAACTAATGTAATGTACTTTATTATGGAAAAAAAAATTGCGGACTTGCGAATTGAGCTAAAAGTTTTGGTAATAAATTTATTATTTTTTTTTTTTTATTATAAACTTTCACTTTAAAGGACAAAAAAAAGTAGGTTAAAAATTATTACTTTTAACATATTAAAAATCAATAATAACTTGAAAATAATTAATTATAAAAAATATATAATATATAAGTAAAAAAGAATTACTAATTTGGATATAATTAAGGAAGTAGAAGTTGTTGTTGCTTTTGTAATTATCCACCAATTTTTTAGAATTAAACACTATCTACAGATTTGCATCGAAGCGTTTCTTATGATAGTGATTTTAATCACTGTCAGATTAAATCTATACTGGACCCAACTATGCCACGTCCCCACTGTGCCACGACCTCACTGTGCTGGGTTTTTTTTATATTTATCTGTTCATTACCATCAGTCATACTCAATGACTGTCTGAAAAAATCATCTATTAACAAAATAGGTTAAATATGTCATTTTTCATATTTTTAACATATTAATAATTAAAATCAGTATTAATTTAAAACAATTTTTTTTTATGTCAATACTTATTTTTTAATATATAAGTAATTCTATCAAAACTTAGAAGTGATAGAAAAAGTCTAATTAGAGATTTAAAAAGAGCGCGAAAAGTTTAAAAAGAAAAGTATATTTTTGTTTTATAATTCTTTGCAGAATAATGGTAATTAGTATAAACCAGTAGTACTTAGTATTAAAGGTGTAATAAATTAGTAGTAATATGTATTTAGGAAGCAGAATAATAATAATTGGTAATAAAAGGAGAGAAAATAGGAATAATTAGTAATTAAGGTTGAGAGATGCAGTAATTTAAGGGTAATAATTAGTAATTCAGGATGTGAAATATAGTAATTAAGGGAGAGAAAAATAGTATCTAAGGGTAATTAATATTTAAGGGTGAATAATAAAGAGGAATAAGGAGTTATACTAAAAGAGTAGTTAGGGGGAGTTATTAATTAAGGGGGTATACTAAAAGTGTAGTTAGGAGGAGTTATTAATTAAGGGGGTATACTAAAAGTGTAGTTAGGAGGAGTTATTAATTAAGGGGGTATACTAAAAGTGTAGTTAGGAGGAAATATGCAATTAAGGGGGTATTATTATTAATTTGTAGATTCTGTAATTTTTAATTAATAAAATATATAGTGTTCTATGACTATATTTTTTTGTATCTGTGAACGCTAAATCTCAGCTCTCGCTGGACCGATTTTGATGAACATAACATCAAAAGATCACAAATCGCATCTAGTAAGACATTACCGTCAAAAATTGAAAACGTTTCTCTCGTACCTGTAAATTTCCCCCATTTACAGGGTACAATCCTCCAAAAAATTACAAATGTAAAAATCGCTAGTTTTTGACATTTTTAAATTTTTTTTAACACGCTTATATTAGTTTCACGTGTTTCTCGTTTGTTGTTTGTAAGTTTGTAACTCCACGCGGCACGTGTTATTATGTCGCGTATGACCTTGAGACTAGACTGTCGTAACGCATTCGCCCCACCCCGCTCACCTCTCGTAGACAACAATATTTTCTAACCCGTAGACGCGCGCGTGTCATCAATTATGTATATATATATAACAAATTTTTATTTATTTTTGGTTTTCGTACCCGTATACGCGTGCATGTCATCAATTATATATATATATAACAAATTTTTATTGTAATTGACACAGCCCCGCGTCGTTTTACGCCGCGGTGCAAAGTCCAACAAGTGCCGCACGGCCAACGACGTCCCGCCACTAATGATACTGTAGTTTTCTTCCCGTTGTCAAAGTGATAACGTCAACAAATGGATCCGCACTCGCGCACCGTCGTCATCTACGCTGCTAACCTTTTGACGCCCGAGGATCACGCCGGTCATCGCGTCGTCTACGCCAGCGAAAGTGCCGCGATATTATGCGAAAATTATATATTCTTACCATCGCAGCTAATATTAATATATATATTAATATTTATATATACGTATATGTTAATATTCATTTATATATCCCTACAGCCGACGCCGCTGCCGCCATATATGCCTCGCGCTCCGCCCGCCAACAAAACACAGCTATACCTCGTGCATGATACGTTTACGTACTTAAGTCGCTTTACATGTATATATATATATTCTAATTACTATTAACAACTTATATATTAATACGCTTTATTCTAATTAAGAGATATATAGGGTATTTATTCCGATTACGGGGAATGATTGCCGTATTGTCATTTTTCGTCACTACCTCCACGTTGCGCGCTTGCTGCTTTCCTTGGATGTGGTAACCGTTTCTCAGACTCCCACTCCGGAATCGAACCCTGATTCCCCTTTACCCGTTACAACCATGATATTGATAGTAACTACTATCATAAGATGTAACTAAAAAGTGAAAAATAAATATAGTTTAAAAAAACTAAAAAACACGCTTTTAAAGAACATCGAACTAAAAAGATCAAAATAATTTTTAAAATAAGCGTAAAACAATAATGAACGAAAAGTACTAGAATTATTGTGATAAAAGGGTGGGTGCTCTGTGCTATATTATTCGTATATTGAACGCCTGACGCTTTTATCACAATAATACTAGTACTTTTCGTTCATTATTGTTTTACGCTTATTTTAAAAATTATTTTGATCTTTTTAGTTCGATGTTCTTTAAAAGCGTGTTTTTTAGTTTTTTTAAACTATATTTATTTTTCACTTTTTAGTTACATGTTATGATAGTAGTTANACTTAAAACTGCATTAAAAATGCCCGAATCTATATAAATTTTTTTATAGATGCATGATGTCTTTACCTATCATTTGGTATATTTTTTTTTATAAATCTGACTTTTTACTTGTCTACAGGGGAGGATTCAAAATGACAACTTTTTCACAAAAAATTTACTTTTTCAACTTAAATTTTGAAAGTGTTCCGGAAAGTCTGACGCTTTTATATATATCTTAAATTAAAGCTAATGTAATGTACTTTATTATGTAAAAAAAAATTTCGGACTTTATTTTGTCTTCACGGTGAAAATGGCTACCAAATGCTATTATTGTGTGAAATTCTCGATTTTATTTTTTATATTTTTAACTTTATAATGCTATAACTTAATGAAAAGTGTATGGATTAACATAATTTTTGTATGAAAAATAATATTTTTTAATAATTCCTTTTTCATTCAGGATAATAATAAGAAAATAACAGATCATGTAGCTTTTGGAATAATCCACCAATTTTTTAAAATTGAACACTATCTAAAGATTTGCATCGAAGCGTTTTTTTTTTATGGTGATTTTAATCACTGTCAGATATTATTATACTTGATCCAACTATGCCACGTCACCACTGTGCCCCGACCCCCCTGTGCTGAGTTTTTTATAATAGTGTAATAATTAGTATACTTTATACAAAAACAGTTTGTTTTTAACCAACCAATGGTAAAATTTTGAACTTGTAAGATTCATAGAATGGGATACTGTCTAAGGAGGAATGGAGGGAGCTCCCCGAAAAGCTTTTCATGGGAAACAAATTATGGAAAATGATACAAGGGCCCAAAATAGTTGGCCCCTCCAAAAAATATTTTCTGGCTACGTGCCTGAACTGTATATGCTTCTTAATCCTAAATCCTTAATTTAGTAGTAACATAATAAATTATTGAGGGAATATTTACCTATTTACCAACTAGAATTTTAGTCCTAGAAATTAAAAATTATATTCTCAACTTGAAAATAAGCTATAAAAATGTATAATTAAAAAAAAACAATGTATTTTAAATCAATTTTAAACTGGGACTTTATAAATAATAAAAATAAAGTGCTAACCAAATAAGAAAAAAAAGATCTTTCGATTAAAAATAAAATTTAAATGATCGGTAAAATTATAGAAACACTTCTGATATTTTTGCTCACGATTAATTAAATATATGATTTCTAAATTTAGATTGTGTTGCACTGATGGCTCTGAATTTTTGTTCTTGGCCGATACAGCTAATGAAATGGAGGAATGGGTGAACAAAATAACTTTCCATGCACAATTACCACCCAGTTTACAACTACTAAGCTATGACGAAAATCAAAAGGTTAGTTTTCAAAAAGTTTTATTCGTTTATAAAAATAGTAACTTATTGTTGATTAATTGTTTAGTACAAACATAAATTAAATATAATTTAAAATTAAAAATTATTAAATAAAAATAATTGTATCAGAGTTCACCTCAACCTGAAAAAATTCCAGTTCCATCCGCAGTAATAAGTACAAGCTCAAGTGCAGCCACAACACCTGAAGTTGAACGAAAACCTTTACCAACTACGATTACTACTAGAAAGGATAATCAAATTCGTCGACCTATACCAGTTCGTCCACCATCTATTGATAATATACCCTTTCAAAATAATCATTCAACTGGTAAAATATTTAAATTTACTTTCATTTTAGTTTATATTTATTGTTTAACTCGAAATATTTTAACACAAGATACCACAGATTATGCTTCCAAAATACTACCACCTGGGAATAATTCTACTAGACCTCATTCTTACTATACAAACGGCAATAATGATTGGAATAAAGATGGTCAAAATCTTAAATCACCAGGTAAGTGTTTCTATAAAAATATAAACATTATTATAGTATTTAAATATATTAACGCATATATATATTTTAGATGCTACACCTCCACCTTTACCGTTGACTGCTCCACCAATAAAAGCTGGTAATAGAGACACATGGACTTCAGACTATAGACATAGTGCGGGTAGGTAATTTAAACTAATATTTTCTTTTAACATATTATTAAGACATGTTTTAATTATGATAAATACAGTATTGTAATCTTACATTACTAAATTTTTGTTATAGATAAGTGGAAAGAAAGTTTTTAATTTTAATAATTATCAAAAAATAAAATTTAAGCACTTTGTAATATATAGATGATTTTTTTAACATAAACCACTCTATTACTTACAGGATATATAATAAATATTTATTGATAAAGTCATAATTGACATTAAACACTGTGTATCTGTGAATAGTGACGTCATAAAAAAGCAATTAGCTACCTATATTTGTAATCCCACATACATTATACATGTATATTAACTTATAAATTTGAAACTTTTTATATTTAACAACCAATTAAGTTATGTTAAAAAATTTTAATTTTATTTACTATTAAAATAAAACCTTAAACATTTATTAAATTTAATGTAAGTGTTCCCATTTGAAAAACAATAATAACACCCTTACAAGGCATAAACTTAAAAAGTATTACATAACTAATAATTCAAGAATAATATATAATTAAAGGTAATCAAAAAAAATATATATATATTTCAAAATAATTTTTATTCTGTTAGTAATGGAGTAGCTTATGAAAGTCGCTCTGTATATCATTTATTCAAATGATAAATTATTAAAAAATACTTGCTCTGAATAATATGTTATAAAATATTTAAGATAAATATTATCAGATAAGTTACAATTTTTTTTGCACTATTTTCTCATACATTTTTTTAAACTACAAACCTTTTTATACTCAAATTTTTTTTCAGTGTATGCTAATGTTGATGTACTTAAACAACAGCCACCTATAATACCCAATCGGTCTGCAACCTTACCCAGCTTAAATCAACATAGAGCCAGTGAAAGTTCAAGTGAAAGCGAACATCAATCACCAATTGGTCGTAAAGATAAAAGATCAAGTGTTTTATCAAGTCTTTTCCGTAAAAAAAAAGCTACCCACTTGTAAATTAATATTTTAACTCGTATTTGTTTTTATTAGATTTTTATTTTGTGTAGTGTGCCATTAGCTATATTAGTAAACAAATTTAATTTTGTAATAATTTATCATATCATAAAAATAAAACCTATTAAAGTCTGGTCAAGAACAAATTTTATTTTAGATAACATATTTTTAAATTTTTTATTTCATTAATTTACATTCATTGTGTTAATTTATATAAGTCAATTAATAACTACTGACTTATTTTTATCAAAAAATTATGATAATTTTTTTATTTTAATGTTAATAGGACATAAAAAGTAAAATTGTTAATGTAAAACTATTTGTATAATGTACTCAGTATTATAAATCTACTGTTCATTTGTTAAAAATATTATTTATTTTATTAAAAATGCGTACAAAAATGTTAATAGTGTGTTTTATAATAAGAATAGAGTATTGAAATGTTTATTAACTAATGTCTTAATTAATATTTATTTAAAGTTTGCGTTATGTTTGATTTATGTTATAAAAATAATAATTTAGTGTAAAATTATTTATCAAAAACTCCTAATTTTTAAAATTGATTTTATTTTATTATTATTATCATTTTTTTTTTTTTTGTAATATATTCACTCTGGTAATAAATATGACCTATATTTCAAAACATTATTACTATGTATTGAAGTATTATAAAATTATTTAAATGAAATTGAACGATTATTTATTTCATATACATACATTATGTTTTTCCTAATTTCCATTTGTAAAATATTATATTAGTATATAAGAATGTTAAAAACTTTTTTGTTACTGATAACAATAAAACAAATTTTAGTTTATATGTTATATGTTCTATATTATACTCTATGAATGTATTGTCCATAAATATAACTTATATTAATGTTTATTTTATAAATATTTTTAATTTAGAAAATATTTTATTTAAATCATTGGTTTATTTTTGGTTGTTAATTTTAATTAGAATATAATAATATAAAAGAAAAATGTTGAATATTGTGTATAAATTAAATAAAATGACAATACAAATTGATCGAATTTAAGTAAGACACTAAATGTCTAAAATAAGTCTTATTTTCTAAAAACTAAGGAATTATGTAATTTTTTTAAGAGAAAAATTATTTGGTTTAAAAAAAACTAAAGTATTATATAGTCAAATTATTTTTTCATTTTATTTTTATAGTTAAATTTATCCAATAAATTGTTCATCTGATATAGCATGTTTAAGTTTAGTAACTTGAGGTCAATTTTTTAATATTTTATTGTTAAGAATAACAAAAGTTTTTTATACTATAGCACATAATTAGTCATCGGTGTGGAAAATTTATAAATCATAAAAAATAATTTATGATGGATCGAAATAGATTATTGACTCCAGTATTAAGAAAACAAAATTAATAATAATTTTTTACTCTAAATCCTAATTTTTAAAACAATTTTATAATGCAAACTGTTGATTCAATAAAAAAAAATATAAAAACAAAATTGTTAGTATTTTTTTTTTTATCATATCAAGTTATTAACAGTAGTTCCCATTCTAGGGAAATCAAAATTTAAATTTTTTATCCTTAAAGGAATGAACAAAAAATGATTTGTCTACATCAAATAGTAGTTTTTTAATCTAAATAAATTTTCTCTTTACAAAAGTTAAAATATTTAAGTTTCTAAAAATATTTTTTGGTTATGATTCAATTCAAATAAATTCCTCTTTATTTATCTCAAATGTATCATTTAGAAAATAAAATTTTAAAACTTAGAAGTATGAAAAAAATTGAATAACAGTCTAAAATACATATTTAAAACAGAATTGAAAAAAAAATTATTATTCATAATAAATTACACTAAAAAAATATACATAAATAAATTTATAAACATTATTTTCAATAAATCAACAAAACATTTTTCTACATAAGTATCACAAAATAATAAATTTATCTGATAAAATTATAATTGACTTGTACTTAAATATTTACATAATAATGATCCTTATTTAAAAAAATTTGAAGATAAATTATTTTATTTAAAAAGTGAATTTTTCTTTAGTTTTTTTATCATATCTTTTTTCTTCTTCTCAATTTCATCAATACTTTTCATAGAATTTTCTGGCTCTATTGAACAATATTTTCTTTTTGGAGTATTTATGGTTTCAGTTGTTATATTATTAGTTATAATTTCACTAGTTTCTATTTTATTATCTGTATCTATTGCTATAGATTCATTTAATTCTGTTATATCATTAAGAAAATCATCATTACAATCATCCCATAGACTGTCACACACATTGGTATCTTCACTCAAATTTGAACTATTTAGAAAAAAATTTTGTGTTAATATTTGAAATTTTACAATATTTCAGTTATTTTCAATAATATACTAATTGGTACATTATTCAATGTATTTATAAAAACAGACTTAGTATTAGTAATAAGTCTATTATTATTTAGTGATATAAGAAAATTACCTAGTAGAACATTGATTAGATTCATCAGATAATATATTTACATGTTTGCTGCAGATATCAACAACTTTTTTAATTATAGCAGGACCAAATCGTTCAATTTTAGCCTCATTAAATCCATCAACTAGAAAAATAAATAAAAAACTACTTTAATATTAATTAGTAATAAGTTGTAAAAGAGGGACACTATGGCTGAATGATTAATGCAACAGTGTCTAATGCACAGTTGGCAATCGGGGGACTCCGTTTGCTCAGCAATAGTCATTCTAGTAATTGGGGTCACCAACCCATTTTTTTTTGTCTCTTTGGCAACAGACTAACCATCCTTCCTAGAGTATATAAGATTCAGAAACTGCAATGATACTTTATTGACTGTAAAAGTATTAAAAACAACAAAAATTAAGTAATAAAATTATTTTGTACTTTTTTTTAATTCAGCAACATTTTTGGGCTTAATTTTGGCCACATCTATAAGCATTGTATTACTAGCTATCATGTATGGCATACAATCTGATTGTTGAGCTAATGTTGTTCTAAACATGACCAATGAAGAGTATAAACTGTTCTACAATAAATTAATAATATATAAAATAGTATATTAAATTTAATGAATTTCCTAATTTTGATAAAAAAATTTAACAAATAATTACTTCTAATTCACTGTATTTTCCTTTATTTTTATTATTTGTTAAACTATCATGCGAAAATTTTCTAACAGGCTCTTGCAAACGTTTTTCTAAAGTTCCAACCCATTGATTTTTTGTTAAATTATTAGGTCTAATAAATGAAATATAATGAAAACTTTGACATAAAATTATTATTTATTATTTTATACTTGTTCATATATTTTGACTTGTATAACTTTATCACCTCATCAGATGGATCTATTTCAATGTTAGTATTTTTGCCACTTCGAAATACACAAAATTTAATGTTAAATGTTTTAAAAACATAATTTGTTGTTTGACAAATAAATACTTACAATTTTATAAATTCCTCTCCTTTTTTAGAAACTGCAATAGTATTAATAGGAAATGAAAAATTACTTCCTTGTCCAAAGTTACAAGGGTTCTGTACAAGTAAACTTTCTCGTAAACATAATTTTGCTAGAAATAATGATTTTTAAAGTATTATAAATATAAAAACAATACAATTAAAATAATTTAGATACCTAAGGCTTTCCAATATGACTCGGTATTGTATTTTCCTTTTCCATATAAAGAGTGAGATGTATGTCGTTGATATAATTTATCACTTTTTTTACCACAAATAAAACAGACAGAAGCAATAATTCCTAAACGGCCATCTAAAGCATTAACAGATTTTAATACTAACTGAATATCTTCAGTAAGATCAAAAGAGCTCTTGGGTTTTTTATCACAGTTAAATTGTCTACAGAGAAAAATATATATATATAAATAAATATAAAAAATGTTAAAAATATAAATATAACTCTTAAATGTATTAATTTAAGTAATATACATATATATTTAAAAATTTGTAATATTATAATAAATTAATACTATTTATGTATTTTCAATATATAAATGAATCATACCTGAGAGTACAGTTATCACAACAATTTTCACTAAATTCTTCATAATTTGATGAAGAGGAAGCATCTTCAAAATAGGAAAGTAACAATTTTCTTCTGCAAAGCCTTGTTTCCATATATTGTTCAATTACTTTGGCCATTTTTTCTCTATGTTTTCGATAAGTATTGTTTGTTAAGTTTGAAAGAATAATGTGTCTATTAAGTACAATATCTGCTTCATTAAAAAATATATGACAAGAGGCTGGTAGACCATCACGGCCAGCTCGCCCAACTTCTTGATAGTAAGATTCAATATCTTTAGGAGCTCCATAGTGAATTACTCGACGTACATCTAAAATAAAAATAAAAATCATTTTTCTTAACTCTTAAAACAAAAATAATATTTATTATTTATTAAAATAATTTTACTGTGATTATTATTAAATCTACACTTTTAAATTTAAAATAAAAAATTCACATTTGAAAGTTTTCAATTACTTTTTCAAAAACTTAAAACATAATACATAAAATACACATTTTTAGCACACTTTTGACACAATCTTTTATTTTTTTAGTCATCAAACATTTTTTATGTGATACTTTTAGGAAAAACAAAGTATAGTACAATAGGAAATCCCGCGAAATGGAGTTAAAGCAATTTTTAAAATTAATATTAACTGATATCCGAAAGTGATTAAAATCACTATTGTATAACACTTTGATTTGTAATTGAAACAAATTTTTAAAAATAATTAAACATGTCATTCAAAAATTACATAATTTTTAATTTTAAAGGCTTATTATTCATAGAAGACAAATCATCAGAATGAAATCCTTCTTTTATTCATATAGTATATTAACAATGTAAAAGAAAAACTATAAATTTTAATTACCTGGTTTATCAATTCCCATTCCAAATGCTATTGTAGCGACAACTACTTGTAACTTGTCTTTAACAAAATTTTCATGTACTAAATTTCTTTTGCTTAATGAAATATCAGCATGATAAACATCACATTGAATTCTGTTGCCTGCAATAAGTTATACAAAATAATCACTTATACATATTTAAGGAAAAAAAGATTAAGTATACTAGTTAATTCTGTAGCAACAGCTTCTGCTTGTTTTTTTGTAGGGCAATATATGATAGTTGCACCATCAAAGTATATTTTTAATCCATCTTTTTTTAAAAGTTTACTAAGATCCGAAAAAATACTTTTAGTTTTTAAAAAAACTTCAAAGTATAAGTTTTTACGGTCAAATCCAGTGCAAACATATTTAGGATTTCTATAAATTAACAAATAAAGAATAATATTATAAACTTATGATTACTATAATTTTAGCAGAAATTAGCGTGGACATTTTAAAACCCAAAAAATATACTGATAAAAGTAAAGATAAACATATGCAGAAATTTGTGAGGAGCATAATGGATTTAAGTCCCATTAAAATTAATAAATAATAATTTGTTATAAAAACATTTTTAAGAGTAGGAGTACTACACTTATCGTTTTTGTTTAACTTCTGTCAATGAATTAATTTAAATTAATATATTACTGACCATTTTTATCAAACGTATATCTATAATTTTTGCTAATATAATAAAGTATAAAAATAATCATAGAAAGAAAAAAGATATGATTAATATTCCCGAAGAACTAATCCACAAATATTGACAGTAACTGAAAGAAAAAAACATAGAAAAAATTAGAAGAAAATGACAAGGCGATTTGTTAACTAAATCTTACGCAAAATCTTCAAAAAATGTAAGAAAAAAATAATTTTTTCTTTTTAGAAGTTATTATTATTCTAAATACATTAATTAACAAGATAAATAATAACTATATCCCATCTTTTTCCCCTTTCAAATTTTATCAACTGAGATTATTTAATAGTAACGAACATGTATAATTGGCTTATCAATATATGTTGCCATTTAAAAAAATTAAGTTAATTATAAGAGTTAATTCTAAAAAGTAATTATTAGGTGATAAATCAAGAAATATATGTAACTAAAATAAATAAAATGTTTTTTTTCAATATTGTATTAATTTCGCAAGTAATAGAGTGGTACAATTAACAAAAATGCTTTGCTTTAAATAAATTCATCTACAGTTCAAGACTTGAAATCAAAAATGTATTTTGTACCAAAGATAAATGTGCTCATAGATTAAAAAAAAATATGAAAAACTCAAAACAAACTTTTTAACACTATATCATTGTTTCAAGTTTGGTTAAAAGTAAATATGTATAATTAAGAAAAAAACAAATACTTCAAGTTCAATGAATTGCATATATCTTGTCGAACCATAGGTGTTGCAGTTGCAGTTAATGCTAAAAAAGGAACATCTGGTAACATTTTACGTAAGTTTCCTAGATTTCTAATAATAAAAAAATTGTAAATATATATATTTTATATTTTCTAAAATTAAAAAATTTTAGTAAAAAAAAAAGTAAATTACGTTAAAGTAAATTAAACTCAAATTTACTAACCTATAAGAAGATCGAAAATCAAAACCCCATTGACTAACACAATGGGCTTCATCAATAGCTACAGTTATTATTTTAATCTTATTTTTTAAATCTTCTATTATGCCTTTCGCAGATTCTGTAGCTGTCCATTCTGGTGTGACATATAACACTCTTACAATACCAGAAAATAAATCGTTCAAAGCAGTAGTTTTAGAAGACTGCGCAGAGCCCAGGAGACATGCTTTAATATTAGCCATCTGTTTAGTTAAATAGTATAGCATTCAATAACATGAACAATAATTACAATAAAAATTAAATGTTGAAATTTTTACTAACCTCTAGTGAAAGTACTTGATCTTTCATCAAAGAAATTAATGGAGAAACAACTATAGTTAAGCCGTTTGAATAAACCGCTGGATATTGATAACAAAGACTTTTACCATAACCAGTAGACATCACAACACAAGAATCTCTTTTTTCCTAAAATTTATCACGATAATTAAAAAAGGAGTCCAAATATTTTTTACGTCTTTAACATTTTACCTCTAATACTGAATAAATAATATCCCATTGCATAGAACGGAATGTTGAATGACCAAAATACTTCCGTAAAACAGATAAATGTTGAGGACTGGGTAGTTTATGAGTCATTTTTTAGTAGAATGTAAGCATCAATCTTAACTGAATTAAGTTTGCGATAAAATTATTCAAAAAATTTATGATGCAATATAATATTATTGGAAATTAATAGTTATAAAGGAAATATTCTTTAGAAGAAGAATAATATCAACATACAGCATATTGTGTACATGGTTAAAATTTCAAAATTCAAACGTCGTTTTTCCACTGTTACTGTTATCAGCAGCACTTATCTATAAGCGATTTCATAACATCTTTAGATTAAGGACGTTATTTTACAATTTTTAATTTTATATAAATGAACACTTAAATTATTGTCTTGAATATTATAAAAATTGACGTTACTCTATTTAATTAAAATATTAATACCTCCTTTTTTTAAAAATTAATGTTTACATTAAATGTAACAAATTGTTTTTAAAATAAAAACAAGCATATTTTTTGTCTACAAAATACCAAGGCCATCCCCAAAGTTAAAAATGTAGACGTGAAAATATTTTACGATTAAATAATTTCTACTTAATTGTTATTTAATTAAGTAGTTTCTTATATCTATCCTAATGAATTGTAAAACTAAAGAACATTTAAAAAGCTAAATGTGTTATTCTCCCCACAAGAATTATAACTGAAAATGTGTTTTACTCCGATACACTTTTTTAAATCACGTCTATTAGCACCAATAATTATCATCTACTACTATATTTTTTATAATTAAAAAAACTAAATATTTCTCAATTATTAGTAGTGTTCATTCTCGGGTTGTGTTACACAAAGTGATAATCAAGATAAAGGTCAAAAAATTGTTTTTAACTTATTAGTATAAAATATATTTGCTTTAAATAAAAATTATTCTTTATATAAAATAAGAAATTAATACCTTTGCGTTCAAACAGTTACATCAGCATCATAAAATATATTCAACACAATTAATATAAAAATAATGAAATTTTACTATATTTACTATAAACTAATTTAAATTTATGATTTGTAATAATACTTATTTATCAATGTGTTGGTGGAATAAAATATCATGATGTATCTATAATAAATTTATCTTGGATGACAATTTATAAAATAAAAAATAAAAGCAACATGATTAAATGTTATGAACTCATGAATTTTTACTTATCATTTGATTAAAATTCCTTTTAGTGCAAGCACAGTAAAAATATAATTAAAAATAATTTATGTAAAATAGGTTCTTGAACTAGATGGGAGAGATCAATTAATAACATAGAAGTATTAGCCTAAAAAAGAAGGCAGATACAACTTTCAGTTCCCAAATTAATTCATAAATAAATTTATAAAAAAATAATTGATTCACAATTTCAATTAAATATCAATATGTTGAGACAAACAACAAATTAAAGAGAAAATAAAATGATAATGTAAGAAAAACTAAAATAACAATACAGAATTTAAAAAAATACCTAACTTAATATAACATGATCTTACAAACTAGTTTATATTTTAAAATATATATATATACTATGAGCTTTTTAAGGCAAAGAGAAAAATGCAGATTAATCTTCATTAAGGAAATCTTGAAGTAACAATTTTTAAATATCACTGATAATTGTAATAAATGCAACATATCACTTTTTTATAAATTGAACTTATTATTATTAATACACATTAAAATTAAATATTTATAACATTAATATTATGAAAGACATATGCAGTAGCGTTAAAATACCTAAATTATAACAGTTATATTAAAACACAAGAAAAATATATACTTTAAAATTAAGACAGAATAATGCAATGTATATGCAATATATGTATAAAAAATAAATATACATGTCGGACGATGCCGCAAATATCATAAATATTTACCAAGAGTTATATTTTATTTTAAGAAAAATAAAGCTATAGAAATATGTTGATATTTTTAATAGATTGCAAAAATATTAAGTTAAGAAAATTATATATTTGTTCATAACTACATAAAAAATAAAAATTAATAGCAGTACAAAGATAGATTATAAGAGATAAATACAACTGACTGAAGTTTTTGAAGTATTTATCAGAAAATAGATAAATCAATTTTAAAATTAACTATAATGTTAAGTTAAAATAGTTTATCAGTCTTGAAAAATAATTCCAATACAATATTTTGATCACAATAACAATTTATAAAACTAATTAAAAATCTTCTTGATGAACACTGTGAGGCCTTAAATAAAAATGTTAATGTAACAGCTGTACTTCTGTTGCAGTAGAGTTCTGTAAAAAATACTGGTGATAAATTTTTGTTTTCAGCATCTTGGATTCAAAGTATAATTTAATTCAAATGTTTGTTTCTGTTAATCCTGAAAATAAATTATTTATATAGATTTTAAGTTAACATTTGAGGCTTTTAGGATGAGAATTAAAGTATAATTTTAAAAATAATGATACAAAATTAAAACTAAATAATACCTAGAAAGACAGCTGAATGTAACTATCACATAATTAACTTTTTACCACGATGATCCTAATTACTCTAAATACTTTATTAATCACATACTACTATAAATGCTACTTTTAGGGGGTTAAAGATTTTCTATTCCCCTAAACAAATTCTAAGTCAATTAATTGTGCACACTAAGACACAATCCATTTCAACATTCTTAATTATTAAAGATGTGTTTAGATAAAATTCAATCAAAATGACTCTCTAACAATAATAACTTAAATTAATTCCACAAATATTTATCAGAATTATTTCATTCAAAAAAACTATACTCAAATGAAAATTTTGCATCTAAATTGAAATAGACCAAAGGAAATCAAAATTTTACTATGCAAAAATTTCTTGTGTCTATAACACTGGGTAGAGAACACAAAAATATTTTTTTTATGTATTTGAATAAACAATGTGTATCTAAGGTGAAATAGACAAAATCTGAAAATATAATAGAAATGTCTTTGGATATCGAAGAGGTTTATTTAGCAAAAATTTCTTGTACTTAAAACAGTTTGTTAATAGTACACAAATGTATTTTGCATATTATATATATTTAATGTATTTGGATAAACAATGTGTATCTAAGGTGAAATAGACAAAATCTGAAAATATAATAGAAATGTCTTTGGATATCGAAGAGGTTTATTTAGCAAAAATTTCTTGTACTTAAAACAGTTTGTTAATAGTACACAAATTTATTTTGCATATTATATATATTTAATGTATTTGGATAAACAATGTGTATCTAAGGTGAAATAGACAAAATCTGAAAATATAATAGAAATGTCTTTGGATATCGAAGAGGTTTATTTAGCAAAAATTTCTTGTACTTAAAACAGTTTGTTAATAGTACACAAATGTATTTTGCATATTATATATATTTAATGTATTTGGATAAACAATGTGTATCTAAGGTGAAATAGACAAAATCTGAAAATATAATAGAAATGTCTTTGGATATCGAAGAGGTTTATTTAGCAAAAATTTCTTGTACTTAAAACAGTTTGTTAATAGTACACAAATGTATTTTGCATATTATATATATTTAATGTATTTGGATAAACAATGTGTATCTAAGGTGAAATAGACAAAATCTGAAAATACAATAGAAATGTCTTTGGATATCGAAGAGGTTTATTTAGCAAAAATTTCTTGTACTTAAAACAGTTTGTTAATAGTACACAAATTTATTTTGCATATTATATATATTTAATGTATTTGGATAAACAATGTGTATCTAAGGTGAAATAGACAAAATCTGAAAATATAATAGAAATGTCTTTGGATATCGAAGAGGTTTATTTAGCAAAAATTTCTTGTACTTAAAACAGTTTGTTAATAGTACACAAATGTATTTTGCATATTATATATATTTAATGTATTTGGATAAACAATGTGTATCTAAGGTGAAATAGACAAAATCTGAAAATACAATAGAAATGTCTTTGGATATCGAAGAGGTTTATTTAGCAAAAATTTCTTGTACTTAAAACAGTTTGTTAATAGTACACAAATTTATTTTGCAAAAAAATATGGGTCATTTGTTCTATGAAAACTCTTACTTTGTTACATAACAACTTCAGGTTCAGGAGGTGGTTTTTTTTTGGGTTTAAAAAACACGTCTCTGATAAGCATGGAATGTATAGTAGGTATTTGTTTTTGCTTATGCAGCCAAGGATATTCTGGATTATAGGACTCATGGTCCAAAGCAACTCTTCTAGATACACGAGTCATTATTGCTAACAAATCAATTGAGCCTGGTTCATGTTTATTGAGTTCAGTGCAAAGACTTTGAATAAACCAAGTGCCATTCTCTGGATGCCTGAACGAGTAATAACCTGAAATTACACAATTCTCAATAGACTACATAAAAATTGTTTACATAAATTGATATAAACAACTTACCATCATAAGTACTGAATGCAATTAAAAAATCTGCATGTTTTGGAATTTTGTAGGCAGCAGTTGATGAATCAACTTCAGTTTTTGTCTCTCTTCTGAGGGTTATACCAGAATCAAGTTTTTCTCCACGGCATGCCTAAAAAATAAACAGATACTAAGAATAGATTTTAAATCAAATTTTTAATATAATCACCTGAATAAAAAATATTTTTGGTTTCCCAGCTAATGTAGAGCATCTATCTGCAGTAAAACTGCTCCACAAAGACTCAACTGGGTATGGATTGTCTTTAGCATAAATAAATGAAGAATTTATCCCATGTGTTAACACAACCACACATAGACAATCATTATCTGAATGGTCAGCTGAGGACACTATAAAAATAAATATTATACACATAATAAAATAAGTAATAATAATCAAATTTAAAATATCAATATAACAAAAATCTTAACCATTACAATACTATATACAAAAATCCCACGTTTGTAATAAGGCAAATTTAATTTTAAAAAATTAATAAATAAAAAAAATAATAGTTACATTTATTTATGCGGTATTCAATATCCTCATGGCTTAAATTATTCCAAATTATAACACGAAAATATAAACGATAAAACATTATTTTAAGCTCCTCCACATCTTTCCATGATCCACTGCGTTCTGGCAAACTTTGGGCAGGGCCCTCAAAAATATCATTATTGATAATAACTGCAACTCCTCTAAATTCATGATCCATGTTATAATTTGTAGCATCTTTAGCTACAGGCATTTTGGTAACATCATTGGGCTTTTTATAACCAAAATTTAATTTACTAAAAATTAAGCAAAATAAAAATATTTAAAAAATGGTACATTAAATATGTAATACCTAACAGTGAAACTCACTTAGCAGCACATGAAGGATTTGGTGTTTGCTGTTCAATAGTGGCATTAGTTGGTTTAGCATCAATTGAATCTGCATCATTGCTTGTACTATATCTAAACCAAGATCGACCCAATGACTGAGCACCAGGGCTACTATAACCCAGATCAAGAGATTCTGTTGTGATCTCGCTATGTCTAGATTTATTCAGTTCCTTTATGTTAGTAGCTTTAGAAGTTGCAGAATACACAGATTCACTGGTTGTTGATGGAAAACTATGTCGTTTTATTTGAGCGGGAGACATTGAACCACCAACACAGTCTATAACATCAGATGTTCTTCGAACGCGCGCAGTAGTAATTTCTGATGTTTCCATTTCAGCACTCTGAGAATCGTCTAAAAAAACTTCGTCGTCTTCAAATTCGTATTCATAAAATGCAGTAGATACAGTCAATAGATTTTCTTCTTCTTTAGAAGATGAGCAAATGTTCAATATTTCTCCTTCGCCAGTAAACTCCATATTGTTCTATAAAAGATGTAAAAAAAAAAAAAAAAATTACACGTGTTTAAAAATAATGCACACAATATCACATAGACATATTATAGTAATGTATTCATAAAAAAATAAATTAATATTCATTGTTTTACACGTGTATATTGTTATACAACAACTCTTTATTTAATAAAAATTCGATTAATATATCATCTTAGTATCTGGATAAATTTCTTAAGCATTACAGAAGCGCCAAGTTTCAAAATTTATCATAACAAATTTTGTTTAACTCTCTGGTATAATTATGAAAAACGATTTGTAAATACTCATATATTTTACTATGTCATAATAAAAGCGCAACAATTTATTGCGCATTTAATTACGTTATCGGATTTTAAGGCAAATTACATTACATTCAAGACGTCAAAATTAACATTTTAATAATTCAAAATTGAAAATAGTTTAAATATAACAAATGTCTCTAATACTAACACTCCTTTGGCTATTATGAATTCTTGTACTAAATAAACAAAGATAAATTACATTTTTTTAGTAAGCCATCATGAAATAAAATATTGAATTAATCTTAATAACTAGTTTCTTTTGACAAATATTTTATTTATTATTTTAAAATAATAGTTACATTAAAATTTTAGAATTTAAAATGTTTAAATATATCTTTTAGAGTTTTGTCACTAATACGTTGTAAATAAATCTTAACGATCATCATTACTGCAATAACGTCAGATATGACCTATCCGGTTAAAATAATAATATACTTCACTTCAGCTAATAACAACACACTGCCACAAAAGACGGGTTTACTACACATGCCTGCCTACTAGACTAGTTGGTGTTGAATACACAGAGTAGTAAAAACCAGTAGTCAAACCAGCCGCCCAGGGAAACAAAACCGAACGATGAAAAGTAATAACAGAAATGTAAACGATCATAGGGAGTTTAGCTTTTCAATGGATACACGTCGAGGAGTAGAAGTGGCAGTGCAACGTTGTGTACCTTAAAATGTACTCCGTGCACACAGTGCGTTACTACACACGTATTCTCGGTTTACATCGCCACGCCAAGATGGTGAAACAACCAAGATTGTGTACAACATAATTGTGATTTTATTTCTCGGATAGGAGTTTCCATTTTCAGATGAAATTAGAATAAACGTATTAACAAAAGGACTGCGAATCGCTGTCCCCGCGCATATAAAATACAGTCGGCAATACTAATTTTATACGGAGCGCAGTCCACTTGTGTTTAATAAGCCAAGGGAATAAACTCTTTACTTGGAAGCATTCAGCGCAATGCGAAAGAAACATTAATTTAATCGCGTTAACGTTTATATTAACATGAGAATTGAACGCGCGAGAACCTTAACCGTTGACACAATAAACAGGAGAAGTACAAGGACAGTGTGCATCGGAACATTTATAAAAATTGATTTACGGTATAAAACGGTCAAGATTAGTGTTCTCCTCCTCTTCGTCGATAGACTCTCGACCACATGTGCTACGGCAGCAATAACTATGACGAAACACGTCTAAGGTTTTTTTTATAATACAGTTACAAACTACGGTTTACGAAACTGAAACTATACCCCATCTACTACTACATCTATATAGTACCATTATTACCATACTTTTAAGTTGCTCAGTAATATGTGTATAGTGTAAAATGAGGGCCGCCAACTGAATACGTACTTAAGACAACGACGACGACGACGACCGTGTCGTGCCTATAGAAGTATAGTATTATAGTATACGTACAAGTGTGACCGACCAATTAGAGAGGGAGGGTAGGGGACCGCTGCAGCAACAGCGTCAGATGCAGGTGCACGGCCAAGCGGTAGCTGACGAGTAGGCGGTGTTGTGGTGGGTGGGGAACCCTGAGGCTGTTGTGTATGTGCACTGCGTGTACGCGCGCGCGCGCGTACAACAGATAAAAACCTATTAAATTAAAACGCATAATATAATACGTGTTGTAATATTTATCGATAATATACAGATCGAGTGTACAAAACCAACACAAGTTATATTAGGATCACATAAATGTATATACATATATATAGCAACAATAAACGTTATCTCGTTTCTAAACGTGTTACTTATTTATATTTTCATAAATTATAGAAAAAGTGTAGATAAACAACAAATGACAACGATAAATGTTTATATTCGAGTAAAACTCAAAATAAGATAACACGATAACTTGTAAGCGTAAAAAACGGGATTGACCTCAGATTACTAAAGAAATTTTCATTGGACGAAACCTAAGCCGATGGAAGGCAATTGAGTTAAAAAAAATTGTGTACGTTGGTCGTGGTGTCGACTCGAAACACGAGGACCGAACTCACGAGAAATTAGCGCGCGTTCACCAAACGTCCACCTAGCGGTTCAGCAGGGCGCCAAGGAAAACGACTAAGACACGATTGAACAATACAACGCGTATTAGCGCGTTCAATCGCATTTAATACGTCGTAATTCTTCGCAGACCGACTGAATCGAAAGATTTTGTAGGAAACCGCTCGCATATTAATCGGAGTAGAGTTTTTGAATTTTGTCGATTTCTCACACGATCAGCGGCTTCATGTCCCTTCGGCCTTACAACCGATGTTTAGTACTAAACAACATCTGTCAAGATTACAAAGGGCTGCTCTTTCCATCGACTGGTGCAAGGTTTCTAACATTTCCAAATGTTCTCATTTATACACCCATTATCATCACAGGTCAACACATCACAGGCCGGTTGTCGTTAAACGATTATTACTTTAAGACGTTCGCTAAAAAAGTGCATGAATCAGGGGCTATAATATGGCACCAGGATATATTATATCCTGTAATATGACGTTTAGAATAATAACTGGTAAATAAATAGCAATGGTCACGCCATGGTTTGAATAGATTTAACATTTTATAAAATTTATGAATGACGTCAGCGATACGATGTTAATACAGTTAGATCACTACTCGATGACATCATCGAAATAGTAAACGTTCCCTTTAAATTATTAAACTATTATCGTTAATTAATACTGTCCAGTTTTTATTTTTTATCGACAATTACAACACTTAATCAATGCATCCACATTCTACGTCAAATTGTGAAATAAAAATAACCTTTGTTTTCGTACGAACACATCACATGAAACGTGTGAAATTTTTATCATATGCCTGTTTCTATTCAATATAAATGGTTGTGATATTATAAGACTACAAGTAAAACGTCACAGTTAAACACAAAAAAGAAAACTCGCTAATACAATTTAGCTACAATACCTAATAAAATCATTAATTTATTGTCACCAAAGAATGGAAAAATACTCAATTTCTAATCTAATCTGAAAATAATTACTATAGACGAGGTGCATATAATCATAAAAATATATTAGTCCTAAGGCAACATAGATTTAATAAAAGAAATTTTTTTTAAATTCACCAAGATTTTTGATTAAGTGATGATTAGTTACTTGAAAATAAAATTTTATATAAAAAAAAATTAAAAATTAAATTCTAGAAAAATAGGTATCAATTTTCTCATAAGTAAATAACATACATTTTGATATTCATTGTTTAAATGATTGATAAAATATAATATTCTTAATATTACAAAAGTACAATATAAAAAATATATTGCAAACACATTCAAATGCAAAATACAAGATGATTGATTAATTGTAAACAATTTTTTTCATATTTATAGGCTTAAATTGTGCAATTAATAACACTACTATATATTTTTTATATTAATTAATAGTAAAAAAAAATAAACAAATATTTCACTCTATATATTAAAATGTGACAAGAATGTTCATATAAACATTGTTGATCGACAAACATTCTCAGAAATTCTATTGAGAGGTATGGAGTAGTGTATATATTAGTTGTTTTCTCGGGAAATAACTAGTAAGTTTTAATCTAACACCCTAAGGATTATATAAATTGAATTTATCTAAATTTAATTAGTATATTACAATCTAGGATTTTTTTAACAAAAATAAAAAAAATATTATAGAAATCAAGCACATTTATTTTCAAAAGTAATCTAGCTGTAAAGAATAGCTGTTATTTAAACACAAAACTAGTCATAAAGTAATACATTATTCTGTATTATTTCCAAACATATTTTTTTTTTCATTTCCCAATGTTCTGATTCTTTTTTTCTTAATATGCTTATTCAATTTTCCTTTAGATTTTAGCTCTTCATATTGACCGACCAACTGTAATATTTTAGATTCACTCTTCTTTAAGAATTGTGGTTTCTTTCCTTCTTTTAAATCTTGTAATCTTTTCTTTTTCTGTTCTATTTGTAAATTGTCCTTGGCTGTTAGCTTATGTTTTTCTCTTTCTTGATTTTCCATTCTTTGCAATAAGAACTTAGCACTTTCTTTCTTTTCTGCTGGACAATTCTTAGATCTCAATTTTTTTTCAAGCTTTTTCTTTTCTTTAGATTGTATTTTTTGGAGGAAACTATAGTTTTTATCAAAAATTCGTCTATCAAATTCACCATATAAAGAATCAAATCTAGGATCAATTGGCTGTTTTACAAATTCTTTTTTCTGTTTAGGTTTAACTTTTTTAACAACAATTGTGGATGGCTCTATCTTAGATGATATTTCAGATGGTCTGTTTTTATTTTTTCGCTTAACAGATTGAGTTTTAGAATTTAATTTCGGTACTTTATTAGAAGTATTAAAAAAAATCTCATTTCCAATTGTCTCTTTTAATTTACGAAGTTCCTCTAACGATAGTTTCTTTAGATCAGGTTTTACATCAACCACTGAATCTAAGTCTAAATCACTCATTTTTAATAATAAGAACACAGTACAAAACCACTGAAATAAAAAAAAAAATTCACTTTTACTTAGTTGAATAGATTACTACTTGATTACTGACACTTTATTAAATATTAACTGAAAGAGTTCACTAATAAATGTATTAACATCAATTAAGTCAAAACAAGATAACATAAAATATAAATATTTACAAAACAAACTTTTTATAAAATAATGGTAACATAAAAATAAGGTCCAAAACATTTTTTGGAGTAAAATTAATTAATATTCTCAGAAACTGAGCAATTTAGTTTCAAGTACTCAAAAGATAGTATTAATTTAATACAGCACATATAGTAGATCATACTACATAGTGTCAATGATTAAATAGCAAAAATTATAATATTATTTATATAATTCAATTTAATAAACCTACAGTAAATCCATCTAATATCTAAAAAAAAAAAAGGATAATAATGTATGTAAAAAAATACATACGAGTAGAATTTTTAACTTAGAAAGTATAATATAATTCCAAGTTTCAAAAAATGTCTAATAAGAATTTTTTTTGGAAAATAAAAATCATTGAAGTATTAGTAGTGTTATTTAAATTTATATATATAAGTAACTAATGACTTCAATAAAAATAATGTTACAATTTTGAAACTGTAATATTTTATTTAAACAAAGCTAACTATTATTGACATATAATTACACAAATTAATGAATTTTTTTTTATATAATTTAAATTGAATATTAAGTTAACTTGTATTATTCAAATAAAGTAATAATGATCAGTTTTACATCTTTCTATTTCCTGAACTTAAAATGCTACAAAGGGTGGTAGCTCTCTTTTACATGTTATAGAGTCAAAGATGGTTACTTGGCTTGGCCAAAAATATAAATATTTATATTATTAATAAATATTATATAATTTTTTAAATTTATATATATAAATAAATAGAACGAGTATTATGGCCAGCTTGCACCAGAGACCAATGTGAAAATCTCAAGTAAAATCTTGCTGGCACTCTAGTGATCGGACCAAGGACATTGTGCACCAAAACATACATACCTACCCACTAAGATAAACTGACCCCTATTATTCAAATAAAGTGAACTATTGAAATTTTATATAATTCAATCTAGTATAGTCTAAACAAATAAGATAACACGTGTGAAAAATCAAAACTTTAATAATTATTATTCTTATGAGAATAAAATATTTAAAGAGTAAAATGTATCTGAAAAACTAATGTTACATAATTATTTCAGGACGAGTATAAAATGACTGAAATTAAAAAAATACATAAATAAATCAGTAATACAGAGAATTAAAATATGCAATTATTAAAATACATATATGAGATTGTATTATGAGCCACGAGGTACTTAAATATTTACTTACAATAACTTACTTAAAGAAGCCATGTGTTCTTAATTTACAACTTGGACAAAGACTAATAATAATCTAAGGAAAGTTAAATACTAACTGAAATAACTAAGATGATTCACAAAATTTGCACAACTACCTACATTTAACAAAACTCAAGAAGGGGTACGAGTGTTTTGTAGTGGACAGGTCACTGCATGAGTCATGAAGGGTAATAAATAAGGCAGGTAACAAGTGATGGGCTCAACGACCTTACAAAATGAATATAGGTACAAGATAGTTGTAATAATAATCGCTGATAGTAATGTCATATTACTATAAGTTATTGTCAATAACATACCAATTTACACAGGATAAATTTTGTAATTGTTTGGTCATTAAATGGACTCAATAATTCTAAATTAAAATTAATACTTATCAAGAGAAATAAACAAATAGTCGTGTGATTAAAGCAAACAATAGTAAAGATTTGGAAAAACCAATGTATATTTCCTATTTGATTAAAATAAACATTTAATAGCGAATCCGCGCACATGTTATTACCATAGAATATAATTATATTACCTGATAGTCGATTGATCTAGTAGATAATCGGTTTACTCCATGTGGGTAACAAATGCAGTTCAATTTTTAAATTTGAAAACTTATTACTTATTTTAAGACTATGATAAAAACTATATTAATAAAATAATAATTTAATAGAGATCAATAAACACGACAGACCAAAGAATGCCGAAATGATATAGAGCAATGATAGTAAACACTAGACACTATATTCTGTGTTCAGACTGCTTAATGCGTATTCCGTGTACCAACGCGTGGTTCTATCGCCCACAGGATAGCGTCTCGGTCGTGTTGGATAATTACAAAATGGAGGATAACGACTACGAGGTGGTAAGAAGAGGGAAACTACAAAAATTACTAACAGATAACCATAAAACATGGTATAATTTTTGAATGGTTACCGTTAACATCGTAAGGTTATTCGTGTTTTTTAATCTTTGGTTGATTTGTTACTATCACAATTCACTAGTTTATTCAGAGAAAATTGTGTTGATAACAATAAAAAAAGTATAGACGTCGGCAACTTAAATAGAATTACTATTAAGATATAATGAATTAAATTAATTTTTCAATAGGTTAAAAATTAAAAATATTTAAGTACTAAATCACCAGTTAGTTACAATAAAAATTTTCTTACCAGAAATTCTTTATCATTTACTCAATAAATATTTCACAATATTAAATATTTGTTCTTTGAAAATGACAAGATAGAAGTATATAAAGTTTCAAAATGAAAAACATAATAATTTTTACGTTCTTATTTAGTCTATTGTGTTTCACCAACTGTGACGAGCACAATCATTTGGTAATAACTATTTTGCTTTTTAAATTGCCCATTATTCAACAATGCTAATAACGTATTTACGATTTTTGGGTAAAAGTCTAACTGTCAAAATTTGGAGTACTTGGAGAAATTTCACAGTATTATAATAATACTGAGTTTTAGTTAATGATTTCGTTTGACAATATTTAATCATTTCTATAAATAAGTTTCTATAGTTGACATGCAAAACAATTGTAAATCTTTATAGTAAAAATTTTATTTTGAAAACTACTTACTATTATACATTTAACTGCATGTTAACTTAATCATTTAGTTAATATTTTATTTTTCATAATTTAGTATGATGATAATGAAGAAGTAGTTCTATGGATGAATACTGTTGGTCCATACCATAATCGACAAGAAACATATACTTACTTTAGTTTACCATTTTGTTCTGGCACAAAAGAATCTATTAGTCATTATCATGAAACTCTTGGTGAAGCTTTGCAAGGTGTTGAACTTGTATATAGTGGACTTGACATACGTTTCAAAGGTTAAATTTATACTATTTCATTTTTATTTAAATATATAAATATTATTTTTCTTAATTAATAGAAGATGAATCTAAAACCCCATACTGTCAAGTAGTTTTAGATGATTCGAAGCTTAAGGCATTTTTGTATGCAGTTAAGAATCATTACTGGTATCAGATGTATATTGATGATCTTCCAATTTGGGGTGAGTTAGATTAAAATACAAAGAATAACTTTTCAATTTAATTATTTTAAACTAAAAGTATTCATTAAAATTTCCTAAATTATATATTAGGGATAGTTGGTGAAATTGATGAAACAAACAATAAATATTATATTTGGACACACAAGAAATTTGATATAGGTTACAATGGAAAATACATTGTTGATGTAAATCTTACATCTGAAGCAAAAGTTGAATTAAAGGTTGATACAAACATCGAATTTACATATGAAGTTAATTGGAAGCAGTCATCTGTAACATTTAAAGATCGATTCAACAAATTTTTAGATCCAAAATTCTTTCAACACAGAGTATGTTTATGTTTATAGCTGTACAATTTTTAATTAAAATCTTAACTATTATTATTTAGATACATTGGTTCAGTATATTCAATAGTTTTATGATGGTTATATTCTTAGTTGGTTTAGTTTCAATGATTCTTTTAAGAACAGTGCGTAAAGATTATGCTCGCTATAGTCAGGATGAAGAAGTAGACATTATGGTATAATATTTAGTTTAATATGGATTGACATATGACCATCATTGTCACTATATTACAATCAAACTGATATTTTGTTCTAAAATAAAATATTGTTATCATTAAATATAAAATTGTTTTTTCTGTACGTTTAATTATGTACATTAAAACTTTATAAAATATTTCAATGTAAAATTACAGCTTTACAGAGACTCTTAGTTTATTATCATATGTGTTATGATAAGTTATAATTCTCCTTAACAAATTTGTAGTTTCATGGTATTATAGTGACAATCACAATCATTTATTACTATTTTAATAACATTTTTATTTTTTTTCATGTAGGAGAAAGATTTAGGAGATGAATATGGATGGAAACAAGTTCATGGTGATGTTTTCCGCCCAGTTTCTTATCCTATGTTATTTTCAGCTATAATTGGATGTGGACATCATATTACTGTTGTTACTCTTCTTGTAATTATTTTCACTATTATAGGAGATTTGTATACCGAGTATGTTTTTTTCCAATAGAAGCTTTAAAAAATACTGAACTCAAATAGTTATTTATTTTTGTTATATCATAAATTAGTCTTAATTACTGGGAAATTAATTTATTTATTATTAGCTACATGTATTTGTAATCCCTCGTGTATTATATATGTATATCAACTAAAAAATATTAAACTGTTTATATATAATAAACAAATAAAGTTATATTAAAAATTCAAATATCATTTACTAACAAATTAAAAACTCAAACATTTTATTAAATTCAAAATATGTGTTCCCATTTAATAAAATAACGTTGACATTCTTACAACACATAAGGGATGAACTTAAAAAGTATTAAATAGCTAATATTTCAAAAATAATATGTAACTAAAGGTTACCTATAAGGAAACCATTTAGATTATATGTATTCTATAAGTAATTGAGTGGGTTCTTATAAAAAAATCATCTTGTATATTAGTATTACACCATATAATTAATTTATCCTGATTAATTCTTCTTTAGATATGAAATTTTCCCATAGCATTCAATTAAAATAAAATTAGCGGCTAAATTTTGAATTCAGTGTTTTTCTCTTAAAAATAATGTAAATATTAATAGTAATAATATTCTCTATTCTTATGTTCTTATTTAATTCAGGAGAGGTTCACTATTAGGTACATCAATATTTGTTTATGCTGTAACATCACCAGTAAATGGATATTTTGGTGGAGCACTTTATGCCAAAATGGGAGGAAGAATTTGGATTAGGCAGATGTTATTATCTGCATTTTTAATACCATTTCTAGTATGTGGTATGGCATTTCTTATAAATTTTATTGCTATTTACTATCATGCAACTCGGGCCATACCATTTGGCTCAATGGTGAGTATTAATTTAACTCTTGTTTTATCATGTTTTAACCTAACTCTTGAAGTTGTATCAGCTTCTTGTTAAAAGTCATCTACAAAAAATTTTTAAAAATTACTCAAGTTTTAATTTATATAAAACATTTTAATCATATCTTTTGATCTAACAGTGAGCTTGATTTCATAAGAATTATTTATTATTTCATTTAATAAATTAATATAAAATATTGAAAAAATATATTATTACATAATTGTTATAATTTAATTTACTAATAGTAGTAGTAAAATATTGTTATCGATGTTGAGCTAATAAAAATATTAACTGTTTAACCAATTCAACCTTTTAAAATAGCTGGCTTTAAAACTGTGGATTCCATTATTTTTCTCTACTACCCATCAAAAAAAAACATTCATAGTAATAAAATTTGTTTAACTTATTATTTTTATCTAATTTTCATTACTTAGTTCTGACAAGTAGCCAGTAATTGAATGAATTGATTAATATAATTAAATAATTTTTGTGCTCATCATATTAATCTTTATTTTAAGGTTGCTATAACTTGCATATGTGTGTTTGTGATATTGCCTCTTACACTAGTTGGAACTTTACTTGGACGAAATTTATCTGGACAACCAGATTATCCTTGCAGAGTTAATGCTGTTCCAAGACCCATACCTGAAAAAAAGTGGTTTATGGAGCCATTAATAATTACATTACTTGGAGGAATTCTACCTTTTGGATCAATATTTATTGAGATGTTAGTTATAGAGATGTTTCATTATGTTTATTCATTTTATTATTTTTCTAATATAAGTATTTATTAAAACATTCAGGTACTTTATTTTCACATCATTTTGGGCATACAAAATTTATTATGTTTATGGATTTATGTTACTTGTTGTTTTGATACTCATGGTAGTCACTGTTTGTGTAACAATTGTTTGTACTTATTTTCTACTGAATGCTGAAGATTACAGATGGTATAATTTTAATACATTTTAACCTATTTATAGTTTAAAATGTTTAATTAATAATATTTTATAGGCAATGGACTAGTTTTGCTGCTGCAGCATCTACATCATTTTATGTTTATTTATATTCATTTTACTACTTTTTGTTCAAAACTAAGTGAGTTGCATTTATATATTGTTATTTAATGATAAAATCAATTTTCTTTTACAAAATATGATCCTTAAAACCCCTACTTTTATTTATTCTCTTTTTTAGGATGTATGGTCTCTTTCAAACAGCATTCTATTTTGGGTATATGGCATTATTCAGCATAGCATTAGGAATTATGTGCGGAACAATTGGATATATAGGAGCTAATGCCTTTGTTCGTAAAATTTATACTACTGTCAAAATTGATTGAATTCATAGAAATGCTCATTATATTAACAATTACTATGTCAAAATATTGATAAGGAACTGTATAAACATAAGTTTTCACAACATATCTTGATAATGTGTCTAAGTATAATTGTTGTTCTATAAAATTATTATATCATACTCTTGAAGTTAAAAATTATTTTAACTAATTAATAATTGTATTCAATTTAAAGAGTACAGCTAAGGCTGAATTGCTTATAATTTACCTCCTTAATTCAAAATGCTTAACGGATGTGTACATTTATGACTACAAAATAATTTTAAGTTAATTGTTAAATTTTATTTTAATAAAAAAAAAGTTACAATTAAAGTCAGTCACTCTTAGTTTTACAGTAGTAATAATAAGAATAATTTTTTTTATGGCAAAGATTAAATCTTTACTAGTAAGTGTTAATGTGATAAAATTTATAATTTATTGATCATTATAAATTGTTTTATTATTAATGCTGAATATTAATAATAAATCAAATTAGGTATTGAAAATCTTAAATGTTTTTATTATTTGTTTTTTATTTTAAATTGAGATATAAATAAATTAATTCAAAAAAACATTTGTTGGTAATTTTGCTTTTGAACCTAGAATTACATTACTTAATATCAAATTTTCAAAAAATAAATATTGGTGATTATTATTATATTTAGCTCATAACAGAAATTCTTTAAAAATATGTTAACATCATTGTTTTTTGTTAAAGCTATCATTTTTATAATTCAAAAGTTATTTTGAACTACTGTAATAATAAGAAATTCTCAAAAATACTTTATAAATTTTTACATTTTTGTATCTCTGAAAAAAATAAAATTGGGTATTACACATTTTGCAATGGAAATTTTATATATATAAATAAGAGTATTTTTAATAAATAAAGGCAACTTAAATAGTTTTAAAATTAAACAATCTATAAAGGTGATCTACATCATAACTATTACGTTAACATTTTAGAATACTTTATTTTTATTATAAAATCTATATATCATAAGAATTTCTAAATTTATGCATTTTGAACAATTTTAATAAGTTGCAATCAAGATTGCATGTAATGGAGGAAATTGGATTATTGGCCTCTTTGAAAACGCTTCCTTATTAAATGTTTATGTGTAATGTTTTGAAAAATTATGAAAACCTGAGGTCCAATTTTTGTAACAATGATAAATTGTATAAAGTTCGATTTATTGCAAGTCGATTAAAGATAAGATACTTATTTTCTTGAAAACTATTAAACATTTAAAATTTTCTTTTAGGAAACAATTATTTTATTCAAAGAACTACAATAATATATAATTAAATAAATTTTTTTGCACGCCTTAGGGATTAAAAATTTAACTTAATTTTGTTTTTAGTGTGAGAAAATATTTCTAGTTTGATAATCATCAAACTAGAAATTTTAATAATTTTTTTTATTCGCGGACCATTTATTTGTAAAAAGGTGGAGTACACATACATCATTTCAAATTATACCTAATCGTTCAGAATTTTTTAACCCTAAAGAGATGAAAAACATATTCAGCTAATAATATTGCAGAGTTTTTTTGAAAATTAAAAATGTTCAATAGTTTACAAGAAAATTAGCGTCTTTAATCAATTACCTAGTATATATAGTAGAATAAACAGAAGGGGTATACAGTTGTAATAAAGTAATTAGCAATGTTTTTTTAGTCGTGATAACCCTTTTTTTTTTGGCTTATTTTAGTTTTCTTCTATAGGAATACTACAAATTAAAAAATTGGTGATTATTCCACCCTTCCAGGAAGTTATTTTCTAGTTGAGCCACTATATATATATATATATTTATACAACAAAACACCAAAACACTACAACCTGTTGGGCTTACACATTTTAAAGGTGATAAGCCGAATAAGACTGCCGGTTGATAATGCAACTGTTACAAATCGGATGAACTATTACTCTTATGTATTATTTTATTATTTCCATGTGTATATATTAGGTGTCCCTTATTTTTAAAATGTTGGAAATTCTTCGGGCTCAACCCCTAAATTTGTGTGTATGCATATAAAAAGTGAGTACAAAAAATTTCAGGCCGATCAGATAAGTTAAACCCGTGCCGACTTTAAGTTGAAAATTGGCTAAAAAGGGTAGTATTTTCGATTTTTAGCAATTAACTCGTAAATTAGCGTTTTCACAAAAAAATTATAGAAATTAAATTGTAAATCTTATTATTTTGTATAAATTAAGTTCTATAAGTTTTTCTTCTAAATTCATTAGTTTTACAGAAAAATGTCAAAATACGTATTATTATTTTTTTTAATAAATCTAAGCAATATATTGTTTTGCTCATCCAATGACCTTAGTGCATGGCTCCAGGAGAGTGTATTTTAATTTTTTTATGAGTCACCATTTAAAAAAAATTATAGATAACTCTAGCAATTATCTACAATCGTCTCTAAAATATGCGATTCGCAACATTTCCAGAGGAAACAGAAAAATATCATTTCGTAAATTTTCAAGTGCAACATTCGACGTCATCTATTCCACAGGTCGTATTAGAAATATCAATGTTATTCCAATTTTTTTAATGTTTTTAGACATGAATATCATGATGTTATCTGAAGTAATTTGTTTCGAAAACACCGCGTAAAATCAGTTCATACATATGATGGCGTTGATAAAAATAATAAGTCTTTCTCAAATTTTTGCTCTAGTAATTTTTTAGATCATAAAAAGACACCAATCTTATAAACGTTCTATATTAGATGCGGTATTATCACAACATAGAGTTTAGACAATGTTTAATAATCCTTAATCAACCAACGCATAATAAACAGCATTAGCTTGTTTATATCCCGTCGACTTTTTTAGTTTCGGTATACTAATTAATAATCTAGATTTTCACTAGTTATCACAATTGGTAACCAATGCCCGAGTCTCTTACATTTAGAGTTGGTAAAATCTATCCATCCCAATGCACAGTGTCATATATAGAAGGGCAACTTTAAATTTTTTTTTTATTAAGATAGCCCGTTCAATTCGCATAGCATTACGGCATATATGTACTGAACACTTATTTATAATAAGACATTAAGCTTCAACTGTAATCGGATGCACAAAATTAAAGTGTCAATAATGTATAGTACAAAGATTACATTGCATAAGAGAACGTAACTCTGTGGTCAAATGGTAACATAGTAGAAATCCTATCTTTACTAATAGTTACTCAGTTACCTTTTTTCGTGTCCCACGGGTTATAAATAAGTTCATAAGCAAACTGGCAACGTTGCTTTCTATTATGCTGGGTTTGCACGTGCATGTTTGTAGTGGCGCAAATTGCAACTGGCGTGCCAGTAAAAATAAAAATGCACGTGTAAACATGTAAGGCGTGCAAGTGAAATGATTGCATGCATAGAAAAATAAAGCCAGATAATTCCGGGTCTAGGACATTTCGCCGCCACCGATTCGCCGCCGGACACTTCGCCACCAGACTCTTGATATATAAATTTATAATTAACGCCTTTTCGAAAAATTATAATTATTTTAGCCTAATCCTTCATTGCATAAGTCCTTAAAATCCAGTATAATGATAAAAAAATTAATTATTTATATAATGTCACAAATTATTTAAATTTAATTTGTACTTAATTTAATTATTATAATTAAATGTTATCATAATTATAATATTCATTGTTATTCTTTCATTTTAACAATTAATACTATTGAAATAACTATATTTCAAGCATACTAATGCTCTTATTTATATGTATAGATAATAACAATGTGGTATAATTATTAATTATTAATTTTATTTTTATTTTTTATTTTTTTTATTTATTTCATCAAAGATGATGATGATTACGCCCATTAGGGCAAACAGTACAGTACGGAAATAATAATACAGATAATTACTTACTCTATAACAATAATTATAAATATAAACTTTAAGTTAAAAATATTAAACTAAAATAAAATACAAAATGAATGTAAATAAATATCAATTACATATATAAAAGGACCACTTCAAATTATACATTGAGGTTATTTCGACATGTTAACCATAATATAGCTGACGAATCATGATTAAAATCAAAATTATTTAAAGAATTGCATAAATAAAGCATGCGATTTACAGGAGAGTTTCTACTGTAGTTTTGCGCGAGGGTAGGTATATAAAACATAGAATGATTTCGAAGAGATAATTGAGGAACATTGAAAGGTAATTTATCTAAAATTTCAGGACAATCTATTTTGTTGTTGAGTAAATTATATATCCATTTTATATCTAAATATTGTCTTCTAAATAATAAAGAGTCCATTTTCAAACTATCACGAAAATTTTCATAATTAATCCTATTTTTATTTAATTTGTACGATAAACAGGTTAAAAAGCGGTTTTGTACAGATTCAATTTTTTTAATTTCACTGGCTACAAATGGAGACCAAATAATTGAACCATATTCCAGCCCAGATCTTACTAAAGAGAAGTACAATGTTTTTAAACATTCTACATCGTGAAATTCGTTACAATTACGTCTGATAAATCCTAATGTACGCAATGCCTTATTATATATATAGCTGATATGTTTTGAAAAAGATAAATTCCAAGACAGAAAAACACCTAAATCTTTTATATGATTAACCCTAGAAAGGTCAAAACCATTTATTACATATTGATTATTGTAAACAGATTTAACTCTACTAAAAGTAATTTGTGAGCATTTGTCACTATTTAATTGTAAACCATTTTCAAAACACCATAAAACAAATTTATTAAGATCTAATTGTAATTTAACAAAGTCACTAGGAGAATTAATTTGTAAATATAATTTCAAATCATCAGCAAACAATAAACATTTACAGTGTTTGAAAATATTACTAAGATCATTTATAAAAATTATAAACAAAAGTGGTGACAAGTGCCCACCTTGAGGTACACCAGATATAGCATTAATAGTAAAAGATGTAACATTACCAATTTTGACTATTTGTTTTCTCCCACTAAGATAAGACGAAAGCCAATCTATCATAGGATTACCAACTCCCATAGCACTTAATTTACTTATTAATATAGAATGATTAACACTATCAAACGCTTTTTTTAGGTCAGTGTAGATGGCGTCTACTTGACCACCTTTAGAAATAATAGACATCAAATCAGAATAGTACACAAGTAAATTGGTAACTGTAGATTTAGAAGTTCTAAATCCATGTTGATTGTTTACAAGTATAGGGCTAAAAGTGTAATACAATTTTGATACTAACAACTTTTCAAATAATTTTGGTATTGTACTCATTTTAGTAATTGGTCTATAATTACGTATGTTAGATCTTATTCCGGACTTAAAAATAGGATACACATAACTGGTTTTCCAAATCGTAGGAAAAATACCAGACGACAGAGATAAAGATAAAAGAAAATGGATTGGACGAGTAAGGGAGTAACAGCAGTTTTTGAGAAAAATCTCAGGAACTAAGTCAGGACCTACTGTCAAATTCATGTGCAAGCTCGATAGACCCTCAAAAACTTCAGTTATTGAAAGATAACAATTTTTTATATCAACACACTCAGATATGTTACTAAAAGATCCATTTGTAGTTTTACTAGAATTTGAATAAACAGAGCCAAAAAATTGGCCAAACATATTAGCTATTTCATTAATATCATCCGAATGCAAATTATCTAGTTCTAATGTAGAAGGAAGACAATTTACTTTTTTACAATTTTTGACGTAAGACCAAAAAAATTTAGGATTAGTTTTTAAGTTATTTTGAATATTATTTAAATAGTTAGAGTAACAAATTTTCGAAAGCTTTTTACACTTAGATCTAACTATAGAAAATTCTTCATAAATAGATAATGAGGCTTTTTGCTTAAATTTCTTATGTAATTTATTTTTTTTACGAATTAGAGATATTAATTCGTTGGAAAACCAGTTTGGGAAAGTAGATTTATTCGGAGTGGTTTTTGGAACTGTTTTTTCAATAACTGAAAAAATCAATTCATAAAACCTATCAACTGCTAAATTTATATTATTACATTCATATAAATAAGACCAATTTAAATTATTTAACAATTTATTTAATAAAACATAATCTACTTTTTTAAAGTTAAATTCTTTATTAATGGCTGCTGATTGACTAGGTCTTATATTAATGTCAGAACTAATGTAAAGTGCTGGGTGAAAACTATCAACAGGAACTAAATTATCTTCACTTTTTTTAACACGGGTAGAATTATTAGATACAAATATTAAATCTAATATCTTTCCAGAATCATTTCCAACTTCATTTACTTGATAAAAATTTAAATGTGAAAATTGCTCAAAAATAATATCAGAATTTTGAGAATAATTACCTAAATATACCATACCAAGATCATCATTAGAAAACTTAACATTTGGTAAATTATAGTCTCCAGATAAAATAATTTGTGTATCAACAAATAATGAGCACAAATAATCAATTGCCTCAGTGTGAGCTACATAAGTACTAAATGGGCTTACAGGTGGTATATAGCAAGTACCTAACAAAAACTTATTGTTATCACCAGCCTCCACCAGTACAAACAGTTGTTCAACACTAGTAATAGGAGTGAAAACCTGTTTTGAACTATATTTCTTATGAACACAGATTATTACACCACCACCACGCAAATATGAACTAGTAGAAACGCTGCGGTCGGTTCGAAACACATTGTAATCATTAAAGCCTAATTCAGAATCTAATATATCTGCATTCAACCATGATTCAGTCAACATGAAATAATCAACATTTATAAGTGGGATATTACATTTTAAAAATTTAATTTTAGTTCGTAAACCTCTAACATTTTGATAAAAACCACTAAAAGTACGATTTGTAGAATTCTTATTACTATTATTATAAACACAGTTTTTATTAATTTTTTTACAGTGGGTACAAAAATATTTACTTTTGTGATGATCTTCGGACGAAAGTGAACTTAGTTTTTTGAACTGATTTTTGGTACGCCTTGGACATATTTTATTACTAAATTTTTTTCTCCAGCATCCCGTCTATGGCGTAACTCCTCGCGTAATAATTTCATAGTGTTTTGTTGAGATTTTGTAAGATCAGGACTTAACCAAACATTTTTCCACTTTTCGATTAATCTCAATTTTGATTTCGATTTTAACAACTCCAATACTTTCAACTTATTATCAAATTTTAAGAGAAGCGGGCGGTTAGCTGAACCATCTTTGCCAATACGTTTAGCAAAAGTAAGGTTACTATTTAAATTTAAGTCAGTCAGTAGCTCTTTAGCAATTTCTAATGGCTCTTGATAACGTTCATTTGGTGACTCAGCTAAATTAAAGACTACTATATTATTACTTTTAGTAAGTCGATGTTGTGCTTCTAAAATAATATCTTCAGAAGATAAATTTTTACCTGAGGTGAGGGATTCCATATTGGATATTTTACCTCTAAGATTATTTATTTCAGATTTAAGATTTTCATTTTCCTTTTTTAAAGTGTTAATAGAGCTTAACATTCCTTCTAGAGTATTATTAAGAACAGAGAAATTAGTTTCATATTTGGAAAGCTTATCATTAATGGATATAAACTTTTGGTCTTGAGATGATTCAATTTGCTTTAATTTCTTCATTACATCCGAGAGAGTAAACTCACTATTATTTCGCGATGACGATGACGAAGTTTTTTTCAAAGGTGTATCAATTTTAGAGTTATTTGACATTTTGATATTTATAAATAATTATATAAAAATTAATATTTTTACATAAAAATCAGATAAAAGCTCAAAATTTATTCTTTAAAGAAGCTTAAATATACTGTATTTTAAAGTTTAAAATAATACGAGTGCGACGTGCAGTCAAACGTCTTTACTGCTCAATAGACAGTACTGTACTGTCTGTATGTATATACTTAGCGTCGTATCATAAATTAGCAAATCCAGTTTTTGCAAATTTTGTATATTTTTAATGAACAAAGTATAAAATACTCAAAAATTCTGTATCCTCTTGGATAGATATTTAATAATTTTAGAAATTAAACAATTAAAACAACTTGAGTCAATGTTATAAATTGTTATTTAAAAAAAAATTGTCACTTTTAAAATAAACTATTCAAGCAATTTAAATGGTACATATGAGTATCGAATCGTATGGATGCGAATAAGAAGATACTTTATAATTTTGTATTATTATTTATTGTGTATAAGATGTTTTGTTTAACAATAAATCAAAGTTTTAGAATGGTTAATTAGGGTAATTTTTGTTTTAAGAACACAACATATTAATTACTTTAATTTATTCTTATAATAGTTGTAATCGTATATTTTAAAACGAACTTTATTAGGCTACCCAGTAGTATTTTGAATATTTTAAATATATAATAATACTACATTTCAAGATAGAAGTGTGATATCCGTAAATTAATTTATTAAGTACAAATTATTTTAATATCGATAAAATGTCAAGTTGACGAGTGAATGAATTATACCATTACTAAACATATAATAAATTAATAAAAAAGGAATGCACTCATTAACCGTGTAAATCGGATTGGACCGGTAGCAACTGACTAGTGGTACTCAGGCAAGTTACCCCAAAATTTGGATAGCTTATTACTCGGTGGCTATTGGTCGTAGAGTCACCGAGTTTGCGGTGGCAATTTTAGTTTTAAGTCCCTTACGTAGTACGCTATCACTAGAAGAGTGCAAAATTTCTTCCCAAGGATTTTGTTCATTTTTGAATCCTTCCGAAACTAAGTACACCTCAGAAATACTACAGGAAACGGATCTTACGACCTACCTAACATATTATCTTTTTTCATTATTTCAACCTTATTTAAAAATAAACACATTTCACTTGAAACATCAATAACTTATTTAAATTGAATATTGATAATATTATTATATTATATATATATATATATAATATTATTATATTATATATATATACACATTAGGGTGGTCCTTATTTTCGAACTTTCAAAATTTTGATTTCTCACCCCCCTAATTGGTTCATTATTATAAAAAAGTAATTTGAGTAAAATTTGGCCATGATTAATCAACCCCTTCAGGTGCCCCCAAGGGGGTGAAAATTGATAACAAGTCGTTTTCTGAGTTATTTTTGCTTATTGATAGAAAAGTGTTGCACTAATCGTAAAAATGAATAGAATTTAAAATGTAGCTATTAACATTTCCAATANTTTCTTGATGTTTTGATAAGGTGTAGAATATTTAGTGTAAGATATCCACTTAACACCTACTAAGAATGGAGAAAAATATATATTTCTACACAATATGATGCTATAAACTGAGTACTCAAAATCATAAGTGAAATTACACATCAAGTCAACAATATATTATGATATAATNATGCTATAAACTGAGTACTCAAAATCATAAGTGAAATTACACATCAAGTCAACAATATATTATGATATAATATACAATGCATAGATAATATTATCTATGTATGATCATAGAAAACTTTTTTAATAAAAATCATTTAAATAATGAGTATTAGAGTAAAAATGTATGCTATAATTTTTTAATTTAAATAAAATGTATTGCTTTAAATAATCTTGAAACTTGTATCACTACTTGATCATATTACTAAAGTTATATATTTTTTTATTGTTTTTTATTATTACAATAATCAAATAAATAAAACATAATAAATATGGCTTTGAACACTTAAAAAAAATAATTACTTGTGTGTATGTGTATTAGGGTGGTCCNTCGTGAACTTTTCATTGAAATCCGTCATAAGTTTGACCCCTCGTTCTGCCATATCGTTGACTACTTTTATTGATTCTACCACTCTTTTTCCTTCAATGTATCCTTCATGTTCGTTCCATTTGTCTGACTGAACTTTCAAAAAATCAGTAGACATATTAAATTTTTCAAATATGTTTTTCGAATTATTCCCTAGAATATCTAATGGTAATTCTTTGTTAAGAAAGTGTTGTAAATCTTCAAATTTGAGGATGAACTTTTTTTGCGATTCTTTTTCAGGAGTGCCAATTTTAAAAATTGCCAAAATGCTAAAATTTTTGTCGCTTTCTATTTTTATTAAATTAAGAGCATTAGCATGTGCTATATCAAAAATATCATCCAACTTATTTACAAATTCTTCTTCTTTTTTTTTATCAGCAACTAATTTTCTAGTGGCATGTTTTTGTAAGTTTCGCCATTCATTATACAATAATTCAACTTTTGCAATTAAGTTATATTCTTCTCTAACTGGAATACGCGCTTTTTCCCAGAATACAACAATTTTACGAACAACTAATTTTGCACTATCGTGAACATTTAATTTTACATTTCGTTTTAAGGATTTATGCAATGAAGGATTAGGCTAAAATAATTATTATAATAACAACTATTATAAGAATAAATTAAAGTAATTAATATGTTGTGTTCTTAAAACAAAAATTACCCTAATTAACCATTCTAAAACTTTGATTTATTGTTAAACAAAACATCTTATACACAATAAATAATAATACAGCGTATGGGGTGAACAGAACCCAGATAACAATTTTTTTGAACACATTTCCTTTTGCAACTGAATGACTCAATTAAAATTTTTCTGCCATAAATATTTTAGGATTTACCCTATAAAATTTATTTTCAACATAATTAATGCTAATTTCTATGTAATTGTCGAGCTATAATATATTCATAATTAAAGCTAATAAAAAATAATAATAATAATAATAAATGTTCAATTTTAATTTATGATTTGTTTAATAAATGATGAAATAACAAAAAAAGTTATATTTGATCGATTTTTAAATTATATGATCTTGCTATCTGTATATGCCTATAAAATTATAATCATTCAATTTAATTTAAAATCATTTTTGGGACAGTTATTAGAAAAAAAAAGTTTCTAAAAAAATATAAAAAGTAATGATTATATTGCATCCGAATAATTATATAAGTTTCTACTTGGAGCAATTGATAGTTGCAAAGAGTAATATTCTGATACAATTAAAAGTATTGGCACAAGTATTCGCAACATATTTTATGGAAAATGGAGAATTGACAAAATATGATTTTCAATATGAATTTGCAACTTCCGATCTTTACGATAATCCCATACTACCACAAGATTTAATAAATAAATTATTAAAAGGATTTCCCAAACATAAAAAAAATGAAAAGTCATACAATTTTCATGATATACCAAAAAATCTAGATAAAATAAAGGAAAAGTTAAAAATAAATTTAAATAAATTCATAAATTATTTAAAACATGTATTATAAGATTTATAGTTATTTGTCAAACTAATTGACGTCATGTTATCTTTTGCGAAAAATAACAAGTATTAGTTTGTATTTTTAAGTTTCTATAATTACAGATCAATTGTATAAATATGACTCATGCAATATCATCACAAAAAAATAAAAACTTAACATTATTTATTTCTTTTAAGAAATTGTAGTAATCTGTAATTTATAAAAATGCGAAAAAAAAAAATTTAGTCCTACCATCCACTCAATATAATACTATATCATTTAAATTTAAATGATAAAGTATTTAAATTTAAATTTAAATTTTTTTTAAATGGAAAAATATGTGTTTAACAAACCTTTAAATAAGTAAATTATCTTAGTTGACATAATATTAATGCGTAATTAAGTATTATAAGACTAAATTATTAAAAAAAAAATATATAGGTTGTATGATTATACAGACTGTTTAATACTTAAGGAACACAAGTCAGTTGTTACCAAAATGAGAACAATAAAAACCCGTTTCATTAT